GAAATTTAAATTTTGAGTCTATTATGGGAGTCATTCCTAGGTATATATGTTGGTGATCATCTGATGCATGTGAGACGTAGACGTCAGGCCTGTTTGGAGTTGGTTTAAAACCTTAGTTTTTTTAGTTTAAGAGGAAAAAAACAAAAAAATCTTAGTCTATTTGAACCCGAATTTATTAGGCAATTTTTTCATCTGTGTTTTGGACAAAAATAGTTTTTTTTCAGCACGAAAGAAAAGTTAAAAAATGGAGATTATCCAAGAGTTTTTGAGGAAAAGATGGCTTTTTCATAAACATTCCAAACGGTTCCAAGAATTTTTTTAACTCTTGACATTTTGATTTTACTTTTTCAAATTTTTTTTTTAAATTTAAAAAAATCAGCTTCAAATGGGCTCATTGTATGTGGTTGGGATAATTAGTCGGGTGCTCTAATGAGAAAATTTGTATGATAATTGTCTTGGTTTAGTATCAATTGTTGTCTTGTGTAGCTAAATGTGGGACAACCAAGAAAAAATGGGGAAAAAAAAGGAAAACAATTAGGGGGAAGGGGTTCAATATGTCAATTCACAAATTATAATGAAAAACAGAGTTCTAAAATCAATTTAAAATACTACTTGTTTTTAAGACATTTTAATTGCTAAAAAATGGACCAAATGGATATATCAAGCTCTTAATTGCATATATGCATAATATTCTCAACATCAAGGCACGCCCAATTAGAAACTTTAAACAAGTCGTATGCAATGGCTACTCTCATGGGATCCGAAAGAGGTAAATGATAGACAGTAGTACTCTTGTTTTTAAGAGTTAATTCGTATGGATGAACTACACTTGACTATAGGTTTGACCTCCAATTATATACGAATTGTTACATACAAAATTCATTATTTTGGAAAAACGTAGTAATTATTGACTACTTGTTAAATTTGTATTTGATACAATTATTTTCAAACACTATGATTAAAGTATAAGTATCTTAAGGTGAAAATTCAAACATTATCTACCGATCACACGTCCCATACATTTTTTTTCAAAGAAAAACCATGTCTTGAGATAAGGTAATGAAGAAGATTCAGAAACGTGAAGAAAGTATAATGGAAATAAAAAAAAAAATTGGTTTGATGTTGACTAACAAATGGAATTATGGAAGTTGTTCTTAGGCATTGTGTGTCTGTTTGGTTAGAAAAAAAGAAACAATGGAAAGCGCAAGTGTCTTGAAATAATACAAATATGCAATACGTACAAATTCATTGAATCTTTCGTGACTTATCTTTTCATAATCACTACTATAAAGTACATGATAATGTACAATTTATGCATGAACTATCTTCACAGTTCATTTTACTTTCTCCTTCACCATCTTTTCCTAAGAAGAATAAAACTTCACACTTTAGTAATACATTCATATCTTTATCTATATATGTATGAGCCACTTAGTTTTAAGTGGCATACTTATTTTTTATTTTTTGGGGAGGAGAACTTGAACCCTTTACTTCAAGAAGGTAAAGCATTTACAAGACAGAGAATACCATTGGACCAAAGGCTCATTGATTTTAAGTGGCATACTTATTCATTTGCAAGACTGTGATAGTAGAACCCTTGCACTTTCATTAATCTTTCTCTTTCTCTTTCTCTCCCTCTCTCCTTGAACCTCCAACCTCACACCGAACAGCTTTAATGGCCTCTCATCCTCCTCCTCCTCTTTCTCCGAATTCGTATACATGGCCACCAAATCAAGGAGCTCCTTGCACTTCTTTTTCATGCTTGAAAGCTCTGTGCTTAGGACCCCATTCTCTCTCTTGAGTCGTTTATTCTCATCGACAAGGGTTGTGTAACCAAAAGATGATGAAGTTGAAGATGACCTTTGATCTTCGTCCGATTCTTTTGGTGTGGATTGGTTTTGTGCAGCAGTTTGTGTCTTGTTGGTCAATGCTTTTCTACGACGAATTTCGCAGAGGAGATCTTGTTTACCCTTGCGAAACATTTTGTTGCAAAATTCCCACCTCGTAGTTGCTACTTTTCGAAACCCCTACAAAACATAATCCACGAGAGAAAAAAATATGAAACAATTCAGTAAAGAAAATGGGACTTTAGGAACTATCAAGGGCTGAAAAAAGTCTTTTTATTGACATTCTTGCCCTCATACTTTTCGAACATAAAGAAATAGCTGAGCGGAAGCATTGAATAAGTGAATTTCTTTTTTGTTTGTACTTGTTATTATAATTCTTTCATCTTCATCATTGTTATATATATGTAATTCTATACTTTTGTTGGTTTCTAGTATTTTCTTCAATCTCTGTTAAAGTATTTTTACTGTTATATATAATTCTATATTTTTGTTGATTTCACGGTGAATATTTTGAAATTGTTTTGTTTCGTTTATCTGTAATCCTTTCCACCAAATTAGATAAAACATTGTGAAATTATTTTTTTGACTATAATATCATCTTAAATAAGAAGTATAAACTCAGTCGAAAGGAAGTGTTATGATTAACCCAACACTAACAATAATTTTATTCAAAACCTTGATAAATCAACATAAAAAATTAAACTAAAACTAATAACTTGACTAAACTAAAAAGTTGCAGTAACTCATTTATGCAAATGATTTTTTTTGGGGTAAAAATAATAAAATAACATTATATTATTAAACACTAGGTCATTTCTTGGCTTTTCACCTACCATTATAAGCCCGCCTATTACAACGCTCCTCTATTATATAAGCAAAAGCGATGTGTCAATAAATACAGACACATAAATGCAGAGACACATTTGATAGTCAGTGGTTTTGATGTGGATATTTGTGTGTGTGTGTGTGGGGTTTGTGTTTTGTCAAATAATTGATAGATTTATTTGATGGCATCTTTTGACTATTTTGTTACTCAACACTCATGGTCTACAATCCCCTATGTTGAAACTTGAACCCAACGTTAAAGTCATTGAACAACTCAATAATTCCCCAAATCTTGCCTCCACTATTCTAATACAAAAAAAAAAAAGAAATTTCAAAGTTAGGTTTGAAAAGAATAGTCAGACCTTTGCTTCCATGAATGGACAAAGACTATCAAGACCAAGAACAAAATTTCATTTAGATAAATTCACCTCCTCACAGAATCAGTGATGTATATAACTATCGAAGTCTGAATCTTGATAATTCTTTAGAGTTAGGTCAGGTCATGAGAAATTTATCTTTCATGAATAAACCCTAATTCCGATATAGATAGTTTGTCTTTGACTGAACTGGGGTAGGGATTAATCAAGAAGAGATTAAATTGATTCGGATACTAAGACCAGAGTTTAATAAAGATCATCCAAAGAAAACGAGTTTATCCAATCAATCCTTCTTAGTAACCCTCGATTAAACACGGACAGTTTCAAAAAAATGGCGTTTTTTAAGTTGTAAGAGTGATGTAGAAAAGAAAGTTTGTGTTAAGAGTAACATACATAAGTATTGAGTTGCCTGACAAAGCTAGAGAAGTTGCTGTGCTTGAAGAGTTTTGGAAGCAAATCTCTGGCGAATTCCGCCGGTTGCCACACCACAAAACCACTCCCGTCGTCGTTCCACGACACGATTTCATCGGTCTCACGATCCTCCACTAGCATATAGGTTTTCAACAAGAAAGGTGGTGGTGAAGATTTTCTCACATATTCTAACAAACCCTTTTCAAATTCAAGCTCCATGATCACATCAAGAGAGAGAGAGAGAGAGAGAGAGAGAGGTATATGTGTGTGTGTGTGTGTGTGTGTGTGTATTGTGTAACTAACTAGCAAGAGGAAGAAGAAGGGTGGTGACGATGATTTATTGTGAGTAGAAGAGAAGGGCAGTTAAGAACTCCCAACCCCAACAATAGAAACCCAAGACGACTCCGCAGTTCATGAGAAATGCAAGAGCTTCGCCTTGTCTCTCTCTCTCTCTCTCTCTCTCTCTCTCTCTCTCTCTTGTCTCTCTACGAAGAAAGACCTGGTTTAAACGTATGTTTTATGTTTAACTCTTCTTTTATACTTACAAACTTGGGATACCCAATGTGTATTCTGTGATAATGTTTCTATCATATATGCACAAAAGTCAACACTTGTGTGGTTGAAGATTTTGAGTTCGGATATCAACCAAACTTTAGACGGTGAAAGTTCTGCCAATCACAATCACATGATAAAATTCGAACGATCAAATCTGATTACCTCGTCGCTTAACATGTGTTTGATGTCTATCTAATGAGATGATCAAGTCTTAGTCACTCAATTCTCACCGTGTAATTTTGCATATTGAAAATCAACCATACTTATTTAGATGACTATGATTACAAGGTGTGGACCCACCAATAGTATATGACTTTTGACGGATTTTCTATTCCATTGTTGTACAAGAGGTTTCAAGACCAACTAACAATTCAAACGGACTAAGTTATGATTCAATGAGATTGGCACATTTACACGAATTTTCTTTTTTTTTTACTTGTAAAAAAGACGGATAAACGACTAATAAGTAATAATCTTCCCGGAGTGTGACTATAAAGATTTTTTTACCGTAGAATGTTTAGTTTGAGTCATATCTATTAACCCAAAAGAATAGTCTATCACCATAATACTACTAAAGTCAAGTAATACATCGTGTTACTTTCATGAAACAAACCTTACTTGATAACTACATGGGAATCAAGAACAATCTTCAACGAGTGTGATTTACCGCTGGAAAATCGGCTTGGGTGGTATATAGATGAATTTTCACCTAAACTTTTTAACTACAATTTTTTTCAAATATTATTTGACAGGGACCCAACTATATCAAAAAAATTCCCCAACATATAATAGCATTATTTACCTCATTGATACATGCGGCTGCCAATGACTAAATTGAGTGTGGATTGTCTTGTTATTTAATTTTCCACAAGTTTAGTATTTGTTTAGTTAATGTAGGTGTGATGGTACTATCCCAAAGTCCTTTCTCTTAAATTCTTACATTAAAATTTCTCTCTATTCCAAATTTTCTAACTCTTGATTTTGATTTTTGTCTTCCATTCTGATATAATGTTTTTGGATCTTTTTTTGGCTTTAAATGACTTTTTTGACTTTATTTGCACTTCTTTGTCTAAGTTTCTGTACATAAGTAGTCTTGGACCCAGTTGCACTCTAGCGCGTGTAATGTCTTATCCACTACTTTGGAGTGGATTTTAATTCGAATCCGATCCGGAAGATTCAGATATCCTAAATTTGAATTTTCGTAACATTTTAGAGTCAAATTATGAAAGATTTAATTTTTATAAATACCCTAATTTCAACGTGGATGGTCTATCTTTGATCAGACCGGAAAGAGAATTTTTTTTTTTTTTGAAAAGGAGAGGGAATTAATTGAAATATGCATAAATTAACTCGAACATCCCTAATTATTGAACACAAAATATGTATATACTAGTCATAACACGTGTTTGAAGGCACACTGAGACATAAGATTTTTACAATCAAAAAATTGATCCCACTATACTAAATTTAAAATTAATTTCTTTACTTACATTATTTAAAATTAATTTCTACATATTATTTTTTTTAAATAGCGTCAAAATTTTATAAAAATGTATAACTCAACAAATTTTTTTCAACATGTGTACACTATCGTGTATGAATAATATATGAAATAAAAGTTGTGTTAAACTACAAATTAACCAAATATTAAATGATTGAATATATAATAGAATTGGGTAATGTGATATTTTTTGGAGAGTAAATGTATAGGAGATAAAGATTCAACTTGCTAACTGATTTATTATATATATTTAATTGATAGATATTATTGTATATGCATATATACTTAGTTAGATTATTAATAAAATTTATATGAAATTAAAAAAAAATATTAAATAGAATGTGCTTAATGATGAAAAGGGAAGAAAAAAAAAGAAAGTGAAGGTGCTTTAAGATTGGACTACTAAAGTGACTCATCCATCAATCTAGAGACTCAAAAATAATGCAATGACTCACGATTAATTATTATCATTGTGTGAAACTAACTAACATCATTATGACGGTTTATTGGTAATTATTAGATCATGCCACAAATACAACAACAGTGGGTCACTATTAGAATTGAGACTGGAACTAATTATTACAATGATATCATCATATAAAGTTTTATTTTTTTTATATACAACTAAAAAAATTAATATTATCGATGACTTTTTGAATAAAGTTTCCAATTTTGTTACTATTTGACCCTTTTTGTGATAAAATTTTGGTTGCGTCTTCCAAAACCGCGTTGTGTGAGTAGAAGGGTCTGGGGTTGAGGAAGAGGAGGTGATATTATTCAAGGCCTATGGACGCGTTGGGAAGCTTCTGTTTGGTTGGGGCAGCTCAGCTTTCTTGACCTTCATTCAGTCCATCCATTGCTCATTTTAAATACACAAAAAACACACCTCTCTCTCTCTCTCTCTCTCTCTATATATATATATATCTGCTGGTTTTGTCCAAGTCCCCCCTCACCAACCGCAGATTGTTTTCCCACTTAAAACCCATATTTTGGTGACTATTTCTAGTATGAAAAAGTTTTCCAACGTGAGGCCAAACCTTGACTGAGATATATGTGATGTACAAGACATTCTAGTAGTTTTTGTTTTCAAGAGTCTACTTGGTAGATAGTCTCACTTGATCCATAACAACAGTTACAACCCTCATGAATTGTCTGATGGTGTGGGACTAGCTTAGGACAAATCATAAACTTGAATGTTTTGCCGCAACTGGTGGAGCCAGTAAAGGACTAGGGTGGGCGGTACCCGGGTTTCTATTCAAAATCGAGTATTAATAGTTCCACATTTATATTTTTTAAAAATAATATAATTTTATTTTTTTTTAATTACGTAATTTAAAATCAAAGTGGACAAAGAAAAAATAAAAGAGAGGTGGGGGAGAAAAAAAATAGAAGTAGATATGTATTAGTAGGGTTGTCTGATATTAATAAATGTGTTGGTTGAATTGATGTTTTTGAGCAAAAAAAATAAAATTTTTGGGTAAATTTTATACTATTTAATCAAAGGAGATAAAAATCAAATCAACCAGCAAGGTAGTGAAGAAATATTGATGAATTCCTTCAAGCTGGAGAGTATTTTGATACAATCTCTTGTGCTTTGATCCTTATTTAGACCTTCTGGGCAGGTATACCACCCAAGTTGGAAGTCCATCGTACCCGTTTAAGGTCGTCCCTAACTTCCACGTGATTATTAAGTAGAATTTGATTTATGAGAATAATGTAGTCTGCTAATTGACTTTAATGGTGCTGTGACAACAGACAATCCTTTCGAATTAATAACTATAACTTGACATTCCACAGTAAGAAAACCCTCATTGTCACACCCAAAGGTGGGTTCATCAGTGTTTTTTAGTTCAAGTAAATGTGCAGCAGAAGGCTAACACACTGTTGGGTAGTTTCTGTCCATCTCAATAAGAAAGATCTACACGTATATAAAACCGGAGAAAATCTTATAGTGTGCAAAAGTACATTGTTTCACACAAAATTGAAAATTACATATGTAGGGAGGGGTGAAGATTTCAAATGAAAAAAACAAATGGATAATTGCCAGAAGTTTTAAGATAGAGAATTAGAGGCATCAGGGACATCGTCAAGGATGAAGGGACCGAGTTTACCTATCCTGAATAAAGTGAGGAACTTCTTTGACACCATGGTACGAGCTTCAGATGCCTTGTGGGGTATCTTCAATGCTTTCTGGAGCGCTTCAAACTGCTGCTCTATAAGGCTCTCCAGATCACTTTCATTCTCCAAACTACCATTGAATTCCGAGAGAGGTGTGTATAGTGCACGCTGAACTTCAGTAACAATATCCTGCAAGGCAACACATTCAAGGATGTTGAAGGAAACGTTATGTTCAGATTGCTTCGGTGTTCTGAATTGCATTTTGATATTTGGTACCCATTATAGATCATGGATTACCTCAATGTAATGCACATCAGAGTTACTTTGGGGCTTCCTCCTTTTCGGCAGAAGATCTCTGAGGTTATACTCTTTTTTGTCATCAGATTCACACTTAAGCACCTCAGTTCCTCTACCATTCAAGTGCCTCCAGTGTAGGGGAGTGCTCCGAGTGTTCAGAACTGCTAGTAAATACTGAGCAATACGCTCTTCCCCAACCACAGAATCTTTCACGGACCCTGCATGGTTGTTTGAAATACTCAATTAGAACAAGGTACACTAAGAAGCAATAGACAATTAACATATTTCTGAACTAAATGACCTAACTACTGTACAAGAATTGATTGTCTTTATTATTTTTTTTTTTGGGCCGGGGGAGGGGGGGGGGGAGGGAGGTTTCACATGTACAATTTACTTCCGCAATACAAGAAGAATTTTCCAGAATTGGGCAGGCACATGTCAAGAACATGCTCAGGAAATGTAATCTACCATGTCAACAACGTTGCAAGATGTAGTAGAGAAAGAAAATTCACAACCAAACATAGAGAACAAAGCTTTAAAAGAGGTTTAAACCTGCTAAAGCTAGCTTTAACCCTGTTTCTATGTTTGGGATACTAGGAACCAATACTCCTGGACTGTCCAAAACATATATGCTAGGGTGATGGGCAATCTGCATGCAACGGCAAACAAAAATTAGTGAAAACATTGATAGCGTATCATCCAATATATGATGAATGAATAGTCTGGAAGTATGTCAATGTAATAGAAAACACAACCACTTAATCTATTTCAAACCTTTCATCTAAGTTAGAGCTTATGTTTGGATATTTTGATAACATGGATCTAATCATGATCGATTTAATGACCACTAAAGTAGCTTGCCAATTGAGAAGATATAATTAACTAATGTAAAGGAGAAGAGAAATAAAAATATATATATAAAATAAAATAAAATAAAAAGCTTAAGGAATCTGTTATGGAGCAAGCTGGCCTCCTCACAGAAGCTTGCTTTCTTTGCTAATCTATAAATTAGAAGTTAGATTACGAATCCCTTAGGGTTTAGAGAAGAGAGGAAAAAAGGAGAAAAATATGAGAAGAGAGTCGTGTGTTAAAGTTATACAGCTACATCCAAATATATACTTATAACTACAATGTACCAAAAATACCCTTAAGGGTTACACATCCTAATATAATATAACATAACATAACGTAGCACTCCTTCTCAAGTTGGTGCATAAATGTTTCTCATGCCTAACTTGTAAATGATAAGATGAAAACCTTGCTACTAAGCCTCTTTGTGAAAATATTGGTCAACTAATTTTCTAATTTCACAAAGGGCATACAAATCAAACCATTGTGCAGCAACTCTTTAATGAAGTGTAAATCAAACTGGATTTTGCGCGATGTTGATAGTTGTCTTGTTATCACAGTACAATCTCATAGGCCTATCACCGCTAATTCCGAGCTCACTCAATAGAATTTGGAGCCACATAAGTTCACAAACTCCATGTGTCATTGCTCTGTACTCAACCTCTGCACTACGCTTATCTACCATTACTTGTTTTTTACTTCGGCACGTGATAAATATTTCTTTCTATCAAGGTGTAGTAACCTGAAGTGAATCTTCTGTCATCTACTGAACCTGTCCATGCATCAGTAAATGCTTTTAGTTTCAAGTAACCATTATTAGAAAACAAAATCCTTTTTCATGTGGTTGATTTGACATACCTCTAACATACAATAAACAACTTCAAGATGTGGGACTTGAATATCATACAGGAATTGACTTACAACCCCCACAGCATAAACAATATCCCATTGAGAGAGAGATATATCAATCTCCCCACTAATCTCTGGTATCTCTCCTTATCCACAATATCACCAACACCACTCACCAAAAATGGACCCAAGAAGGAGCCAGCGGGAACAACAAATGTTGAGGCAGTTAATATCAAGTCAAACAACTATGCTCAATAATCAAGTGGCAATGATGGAGATGTTGAAAAGGCATGATTTCATCCTTAGGCGGTTGGATCCACAAGCCTAGTCCCGTCCATCCTCTTCCCATCCACCTTAGTGATTAGTTCTACCTAATTTTCCATCAATAGGTATCGCTGACTGCTATGTAATATTCCCAACAGCACTGCTAGATATCACAAACATTGATTCTTTATATTCTATCTCAAAAGAAATCTCCGCTCCATGTTTCTTCAGCAAAGCTCTAATTATTCCTCCAAAAGGAAGAAAAGCATTGGCTACCTCATTATCTATCGCCCCATACATCTCCATTATAATCAGATTAGGCAAGTCAATCTCAACCCATTACCAATAGCATAACGAACACAACAGATAGTAGCACTATATTCTTAACTTGAGGCCATATGCTATTACAAGAGAAAATATTCAAAATTCAATACTCATTGTCATCTGCTTCTGCTACACCAAGTTTCTTCCATTACACCCAAGATGCACATGGTGAGAGTAATTCACTAGCAACAACATTCAACTTAGGAACACCATTAGTGAGGTATGGATAGCCTAGCTTGGCCACCCTAGGTGATCCAATGACCTCAAGTCCTCAGCAATATCAGATAAAGTGACAACAAAACAATGTCCCCTCATAAAAGCTTTAATTTTAATTACCTTATCATTGTAATCCTCAACATTACTAAAAATTTCTCGTACCTGAGGGACCGCTTCTACCCAGCTTCCCGTGGCAAAGTTGGGCTAGTTGTACCTTCTAAACTCGACTGGGATACCTTCTAAACTTGGCTGGGATACCCAGGTGCTCTAGCCTCTACATGTCTATTGGCCCCTCCATAAAAAGAGGATGATCACCGAAAAATTTCCCATAACAATCTCTCTTGTTGACAAATGAATATAAGACAGGATTGTATACATGTCTGATTCTGATATTGGATCCCCCAACATCCTCTATTTCAACCCAGGAGTTAGGTTACCATAACCCCTACCTCTTCCCCTTCTAATTATGTTCCCCCTTGGTGGCATGATAACACACTAAAAATAAGGAGGTACAAATGGGTATCATTTTCTTCCGAATTGGTAGAAATGTGTAAAAGTTTCCGATCTATAATATTTATTTAAGATGTGGAGAAGGGTAGCTTAGTGATGTAGATGTTAAGACTAGAAATTATGGTAAAGAGAGAGAGGAGCAACACAAGTTTCAAAAGGAGAGAGGCTTGGGGAAGTGACGAGTCAACCAATCAAAAGGTGCAAATATATATGTATATGGGGATTTAAGGATCGATCCAAACAAAGGTGTTGACGTCAGCATGTCAGCGTCTGACAGAATCCATTGCTAGCCGAGGTGATTTCCAATCAATTCCAACAACTTTGAGACTTTAGATTTGGTCAGTGCTCTGATACCAAGTTAGATTATGAATCCGCTAGATTTTAAAAAAGAGTAAAAGAAAGGAGAAGAATATGAGAAGACAGTAATGTGTTAGGGTTACACACCTAGATTAGGGGTGTCTGGGTCAACTTACGTGCATCTCGACAAATCCATTCTCCGATCTGATCAAAGGCAAACACCAACATCGGGACTTAGGTATTCATGAAGGATAAATCTCTCATGGCCTGACCCCTACATCCCAATATACATAACCAAAAAATACCCTTAAAAGTTGCACGCCCTAAAATATAACATAATGTACATTAAAATTTTAATTTTGATGCGAGGCACTATGCGTTTATGAAGGTTGGTTACTATAATCTCAGACATGAGAACCCGTGTTGATACACATCCAGTGCAAAGAATGACGTAAAGACTTTTATTTGACCACCAAAAAAGACTGCTTTATACGTATATTATTTTTATTATGAAATTAAGTTTATCACAACCCAGGTCTTCAATACTTTTGGCTTATAAAAATTGCAAAGGAGAGGAGCAAGGAAAAGAGAATTGAAAGGGAAGGAGACTGCAGAACAGCTGCAGCTGTTAGTCCTTGACACTGGGGGGGAGAGAGAGAGAGAGAGTAATTCTATCTTTATAGAAACAGTGTAGTGCTCTGTTATACGTGGCATACTATAGCACAATTCCTCAGGTTATCCGTGCATGCAAATCACACCTGCCCAACTTGCCAAATGTATATGATGATATAGCATTTAGTGCTTGTCTCAACATATCTAGAAATAACCAACACACTACTGCATAATTTTCTAGGATGCATAAACTAGGTGAACTATCTCTCTCTCCAAGAGGAAAACAATGACACAAGAAATGAGCATTGTAAGAAAATCACTTATGAAAATCCATCCTTTGAGATACCTAAAGATAAAATACCTCCTTTTGTACAGCAAGCACTTCAGTAAGAATGAATATGACCAAGGGCACAATAGTGTATAAAACTTGACCTTATATCCGGCAATATCTTGTGTAACACCAGGCAATGGTCCCACTGTAGCTCGCTTAATCTTCTCCTGCACTAAGAAGAAATCATCATTACTTGAGACAATGTTTCAGACCCAGAAACACTGAGTATACACTTGGATCCAACTAATGCATTTGTTTTTCTGAGGGGTGCGAGGGAACGCAAAAAAAAAATCTGCAAACATCTTACCAGGAAATCGAGATGAAGCAATTTGATGGATCGAATTTATTAAAGCTGACTTGCCAACATTGGGAACACCGACCACCATAACAAGCAGAGTAGGTTCCCTTGAGATTACTTCCTCTTCAGTTTGAACTCCACAAGATCGAGAAGCTTTCACCATAAACCATGAATTGGACATGTGACAAAATAATGGAAGAATTAAGATACGAGCATAAAAGTTGAAGCAAGTCTAAAGTATTAGATATATATGGAAGACGTATTATAGTATTATTAGTTCTATCCACTAGAAGTTGTGGTCCTTAGTCTCAAATGTACATGACTGGCTACATATGCCATTGGAGGGCACAAAATGTTCCCACAAAGCAAACACCATCTTCAACAATTGTAAATAGAGTAAAGAACCATTTTTCCATATTCTCAAGACAGAATATATCTATAATGCAATTCGAATACAGTAAAAGGCATTTAGAAGTAATAGATGCCTTGAATGCTATGCCCATAATCATGACTTCTACTATTCGCATTTACAAAGATACAATACAGATGTTTGGGTTTAACAATGGAGAAGAAAGTAATACTTCTTTGCAAAAGGCAGCAACTATTAGAAACTCAGAAATTCCTGTAAAAGGGACTACCATGGAGTGAATTGTTAGAAGTAATGCTGAAAAGGTATGTCGACTGCGTAAGTCTCTTTATGGACTGAAACAGTCGCCACGAGCTTGGTTCTCTCGCTTCAGTGATGTAGTCATACGATTGGGGTTCACCAGGTGTCATTCTGATCATACCTGCTTTATTCGACGGAATACTTCTGGACAGTGTGTCATCCTTCTGGTATATGTTTGATGATATTATTATTACTGGGATGATGTTTCTGGGACTGCGCAGGTCAAGATAGACCTTGGGAAGGCCTTCGATGTGAAGGATCTTGGATTTCTGCGATACTTTCTTGGATTGAGGTTGCCCGTAGAAGCAGAGGTATTGTTCTTTCTCAGAGAAAGTATGTTTTGGATCTTCTTTCAGACACTGGGATGTTAGGGTGCAAACCGGCATATCACCTATGATTCCAAACCTGAAGCTTACTGCTGAAGGTGAGGAGTTGAAAGATCCGACAGTTTATCAAAGATTGGTAGGTAGACTTATCTACTTAGCCAATACTAGGCCGGACATTTCATTCGCAGTCAGTCGAGTTAGTCAGTTCATGCATAGGCCATGTCAGCCTCATCTTGATGCAGTTTATCATATTCTTCGGTACCTCAAGTCTTGTCCTGGACTTGGGTTGTTTTATGCATCAGGATCTCAGACCGGTTCTCTAGCCTGTTATTCAGATTCAGATTATGGGGGAACATGTGATGGTCGATCTACTACGGGTTTCTGTGCTTTTCGAGGGACTCATCTTATCTCTTGAAGAGCAAGAAGCAGGCAGTTGTCTCCCGCTCGTCCGCAGAGGCAGAGTATCGGGCATTGACACTTGGCACATATGAGATTATCTGGCTACGATCAATTCTTGACGAGTTGGGTTTTTCAGTGACCTCTCCATCCACATTATATTGTGATAATCAATCTGCTATTCAACTCGTTTCTGACTCTGTACTACATGAGAGAACGAAGCATATAGAGATCGATGTTCACTTTCTTCGGGAGAAGGTCAGCAGTGGTCTTGTTACTCCATCGTTTGTGGGGACCAGTGATCAAGTTGCGGATGTTTTTACCAAACCTGTCACTCTGTCTATTCTTCGGGACTCCGTTGTCAAGCTTGACTTAGTTGACATTTTTGCGCCTAGCTTGAGGGGGAGTGTTGGAGTATAGATAGTCTAGGTTTATTAGGATTTCTTTTCCCTTTTTTACCCTTACTATGATTTTTATATTTTGCCTAAACTACAAGGATGTTTAAGTCACTCTGTATTATTTTTGGATATATATACGGGGTTCTACTCTTAATTTGAGTATCCCTTTCACATATTTCAAGTGGTCTAAATGATGGCCAAATCATGTTGAAATGACATCGAAAATCTTGACAAAAACTCGCAGTAAGTTTATATAGAAATTGTGTCTAGAAGGTTCATGATCCTTCCCAATATAGGTTACCCACTGGATATGAGTTATCCATCTTGATTGTTCATTGGCTTAGACCTCCATTTCAGGAACTGAAATGCGACCTGTTGATCACTTTATTGCAACATATGCCATCTTAAGCTAAAATGTTAGTGCTGCTCCAGCTATACAAAATTGCCGTTTCATTAGTGGCCACATCCTTAACTTCTGGATCAGTTGTATTGTCGATGTCTTTCTTGATGAGTATTCTTACTGTAAACATCATTCGTTTGTCCTACCACCATCATTCTTCTCCTTCTCTTTAGACGAGACAGACGTTAGTTGTGAATCAGTATCTAAATTGGATTTGAATACATCGTTTTTGATATTTTCATGTACATCATCATGTGAAAATTCTGAGGTTCAAAAACTTCCGCTGTGTTTGAAATCAAATATTTTTTCGGAAAGGACCTTGGAAAATGAATGGAAGGGAAGTGTTTTGAATAAATACCCTTTTTTTTGAATAAAATGAAATTTTAAGTAAAAGACAGAGTTCAAAATATTTAACTCCTCGTTGTTTTCCGTGATAAAGTAATCAAATGTGTTGATGAGACAGCAGTCCCGATTGCCATTTCTACGAACTTTAACGATTGATATTCTGATGGAATTTATGCTGATGATGCTCATTGTTGATAGTGTTATGTTTATGATGATTCAATGGTTCCTATATCTACAGTTTGCTACAATGATTAGTGTCAGTATAACGTAGCATAGCAGCAATGATGCAATGGTTGAAAACGTGTGCTGGAATTCGCCAGTTCAACTAAGCTTCCTTATTTAGGGATCTTATTTGGTCTAGGAGCGATTCAAATCCTTCATTATGCATATTTTTGCCAGAAATAATTGAACTGAGATATATATGTGAACCTTTGAATACCATGCTTCCTTAATCCTTATGAATAAATTCCAGCTGAAATTTTATATGAATTAGGGTGTTCTAATTAATAGATTACAAAATAAATTTCAATTTCTAATGACATAAGAAAATAAAAATAACTAGAATTAGCTCAATAACATCTGAAAATCTGTTTATGCTAAGAGTACAGGTTTTCTCCAACCTCCAAACCTACTAACCCCAACGACATTAATTCGGCTCTAGAACATTGAGGCTACTTCCGTGTGAACGGATTCCAGCTCAAACAGATGGAGTAGGTTGCTTCCATTATGAGACCTGGACTCAGTAGGAAACCACGGGACACAAGACAGCTGGTGGTCTGGGTGATTCTTTCAAGCAATCTTTTATGTAAATTATTTTTTATGAATTATTGCAGACCAGTTTAAACATGATCTTCAAACCTGACCTCATTTCTTATGTCTGAGATTATTCATATATAATAATTGAAAAACAATTGATGATTTCCGAATATTGAAGCTCTTTCAATGCCCTTTGGATGCTTCCTGTACATTTTTAGCTTGTTTCTGTGAAGTTCTTTGAATGTCCTTGGGAGGCTCCTATGCATTATTTTGAGCTTGTTGCGCTTTTCTAGTGATATTAATCGAGCCAAGCTTTTGCAAATTTGGTTGCTCAAATCAACTCAAGTTGACTATCACTTGTTTAAGCTTGGCGGGAGCTTGGTTGCTGAGTTTGGATTCTCATTCAAGCTCATCTCGACTTCTAGAACACATGCTCAGGTATGGTTTTGAGTATTTTGCTTCGTTTAACATCATCTTACCCTTCTGTAGAGATATTTCCATATCATGTGGCCATAAATTCGGGTCCATCTTTCCATTTTTTGCCCCATATTGCTTGCCATCCGTTCCATTTTTGAGATTCTGCTAGTGGTTCTTATGTCTCTGCTTTGAGAGGTTCCATTAATGACAAATACATTATGGTCGAAATCATCCAGACCAAAAGGGTTGGGGGTTGTAGTAGTACACTGCCCCTCGCGACTAGGTCACCACCAAAGGTTCCCCCTCCCGTTAGGTCATCATCTTATGGTTCTGTCACCGGCCAAAGAGCACCAATGGCTTGGGGCTCACTGAGAAAATGATGGCTAAAATGGCGTTTGTACTTGGTCATGGGACCTTCTAAATTTTCATTCTCTGTAAGGACCTTTCGGGTACTCCAGAGAGCGCCCTCCAGCCGAGGGCATTTCCATTTCTGATTAGCCAAGCAAATATATGAACGCGTAGGCACTTCCAAAACCACCACTTATGGTGTCTTCCACGAGAAGTGAAAAATACATTCTATGGAGCCATGGTTGAGCTCTATTATATATAATATTTTTTTGGTTTAGGTGTCTGGGTCAATTTATGTGCATTTTGATTAATTTCATTCTTGGTCCAGTCAAAGATAAGTCATCCATACTGCGACTAAAGTATTTATGAGGGATAAATTCTTCATTACTTGGCCTCAAGTGATTGTCAAGAGTCGAACTTAAGATGTTTGAATTTACAGTTCATCCTTCTTATCACTTGAGTTACCTCTTGATATTAAATTTAATTATATTTAGCTCATATTATTTTGTATCTTGTTTATGTCATTTTCGCTAATTCGTGAAGTAAAAAATTTGTTAGACTGAAGTCTCTTTTCTCTCAACTAAATCTACAATACATAAGTTTTTACACATTAAAAATCTACTTATTGTTTTGAAAAAATGAAAAATAAAAATAAAAATAAAATTGGGTTTTGAAAAAAAAAATCAAATTAAGAACTATCCAGATATGGTAACCATCAAAAATAAAATTAGAACCATAATACAAGTGATTAGACTAGCCCTTTTTTTGTAAGGTTTTCAATCGGGATTCGAGTTTTATTCATTTTCTTTGTTCACACGATTTTTTTGTGAATTTTTAATATAATTGAAAAATAATGGATCCGTTTGAAGTTGGCTTTTTTTAGGTGCGAAAGAGAGTTTTGAAAAGTGAAATGAAAAAATCAGAGTTTAAATTTTTTTTGAAATAGTTTAGAGTGTTTTTAAAAAAGACTGGCTTTTCTTCGGAAGTCATTAGATAAGTTTTATTTTTCAACGTTTCCTTGATGTTGATAAAAGTTGGTTTTGCTCAAAAGTTAATGGAAAAACTGCTCAATAAGTCTAGATTTAAACAGATCAGACTTCTTCCTATCTAAAACAAAAAAAAAAATTGAGGGGCTGTTTGGTTTGTGTCTTTAAAAATTGTATTCGAAAATAATTTTTGAAAAGAATTTTAAATAAGTATTTTTTTGATATTTTTATATTACAAAACCTGTTTGGTTATATAATTTTAAAAATTGTTTTAAAGAACAGAAAATAATAAAACATGTTTGGACAATGACCAATTTTTAACTAATCATTTTTGACTAAAAAAAATTATCACTACAAAATTCTTTCCTCTCCAGTCAAGCTCACATCTAGAGCATTCTCTCTCTCTCCATTATCTTCTCCAATGGCAAAAACATACACACCCACACAACAAACACACGCCCACACATACAAGAAACACACACAGCCATTGTGCACACACACACCCCCTGCACAACACACACAGAGATATGTGTATATATACAGATTCGAACATATATACATATATATATATATACACACACACAGATCTGTACATATACAAATCTGTTACAGAGAGAGGGGAAATGGATTGCGTGAGAGAGAGAAGGCTTTAGTGAGAGCGGTGGAGAAGAAGATAGTGCTCAGTGAAGCTTGATTACAGTCACCATTTGTTTGTCTCCAACAAAACTCGAATGGGAGACCTCATTAATTTGGAGATGAGAGTGTTATCGTATTTTCATTTTGTCTTGGAAAACATTGAGAATTACAAAATGTTGTTCTCTAAAATTACACTTCAATTTCTAGAATTTTCAAAAAATTGGATAATAAAAAACTAACCAAACAGCATCTCTCTTATTTTTAGAGATTTGAGAACAAAATATTGTTTTGTAAACACAAACCAAATAGCCCCGAAGTTTTCAGCACCTTCCAAATAGGTCCAATGTGTTTTTACCCTTTAAAACATTAAAAAACACGGAAGCATTTGAAGAGACATGACATATTGTTAGAAATAGGGAACAAAGTTTTTAAACTACATAAATTGAGGCACAATTGTCCTTACAAAGTCCACATTTTATAAAGAAATAATACTAATACACACAAGGATACCATTGAAAGTAGACAATAAAAGGGAGATAGAGACCCCATAAGAAAAAAAACATAGGGTTTGGTGACATTTTGGAAAACTTAATCTAAGTTGGGAATGTATCTTTCTACTACGGTAAAACTTCTAGGCTTTTGGATTCATTCCAAAATCTAGCTGGGAGACCACTGTGAGGGACTGGGAATGGGCTATATTGAACCATACTTTGACAACCTATAACTTCCCACCTGCAACAAAAAACCATATAAAACCGAAAATGATATTATCCAATTTTTTTCTTTGAAAAAAAAATTGCAAAATGTTGAAAAAATAATTGCTATTGTTTGTGTGTAATGAGAAATGTGAAATTTCAATATCGTACCTAAACTTGGTGACAAGATGGTGGACTAAAACAAGCATCTCCAATTTGGCAAGCTCATTTCCTGGACAAGCATGCACTCCATTGCCAAATGGCATGTATGTATTGGGTTTTGGAGCAACCTGCATGCACCCACCACCACAAAAGTTAATTTAAAAGATAGAAAATGAATGGTGCTAAAAATTATTTTTTTGATATTTGTGAATTACAATTTAATGAGGTCAAAATTACTACTCAATGAACAATAAAATAATTCAGAATCGATCCAAAATTGATCTCCACAAGTTGTCATTTCGACCATGTAAGTGGTAACTCAATGTACTTGTTTGTAATAAAGATGAATTGTAAATTTAGACGCTCTGAGTTCGAATTTTAACAACCTTAGAAGTTAGGTTATGAGAAATTTATTGCTTATGAATATTTTAATTCCAGTGTAGATGATCTATTTTTGATCGAACCCGAGAAAAGATTAATTGAGGTGTGTCCGGACAAAACCTCATCGTTGAACAAAAAAAATTTCAAGCTCCTTTATTAATTACCTCAAACCTGGACGGATCAAAACTTTGAGGGTCATTGAAGAATTCAGGATTGTGGTGAATGTTCCTGAACAATGGCATCACCTTCCAACCTTTTGGAATAAGGTATCCTGTGACAATTCCCAATAACATGTCAAACACATCATGCATTTAAGAATATTTGAAAAAAAAAAAATTAAAAATCAAAGCTTTTAAAAGTTTATTTATCAGCATGATCTATCTACTAATAAAATTTGAATCCCTACCCTCATATTCTACATCGACCACAGCCTCCCTGAATGTGAATGATATGATGCTTGCCATCCTCAAGCTTTCTAATATTACCTGAAAGTTTTCATCAATTTATTGTCACGCAGGAACGAAACTAGAATTTTAAACCAAACGATGACAATTAAGAGTGGGATGACCGATAAATTAATATGTTGAAGAGGGCCCACTGCATGGTTCTGAAAAATTTTCACAAACATATTGGGTCAAAATGTAATTTCTGAAACTTTAGGGTTACTAATTACTATCAACCATACCACAGGAATGTTAAGCAATGCATACAGCATACCCTGTGTGTCAGTGGCATATTTCTAGTCTGAGACCATGTCAATGGCCGATTTCCTCTGTCATTTCTTTTATAAATTGCCTTTTGCTCACCCTGCATTATGGAAAATGAGAATTGTTTATAAATATTTTCTTTTTACTTTTCACGGAAAAAAAATTAAATACAGAAATGTAGTAGTTACCTTATTAAAATTACTGACCAGAAAAAAACCAATATCGGAAATAGAAAAGTTTTTTGAGAGTTTTTGGTTTACGTACTTTAACAGCCTCTAAAAGTTTCGGGTGATCATGGAGGTATTTGAGAAGCCATGTTAAGACACTAGCTGTAGTATCTTGAGCAGCAAACAGTACTCCAATGATGTTATCAGAGATTTGATCCTCGGTTAAAGTTTGCCCCTTTGAATCCTTGAAGTTGAGTAGATGACCCAACAAATCCTTTTCCAATAGTTTCTTCTCCTTCCTCTCCCAAATTATCTCTCTCAGAATCTCACCAAGCCTTTTCCTCGCCTTCAAGTATTTCATTTCAGAGAAGAATGAAATAAATCTTCAGTATAAAAGGCTCTGAAATATGTTTTTCTTTGCTTGTAAAAAAGGGATTTTTTTTGTTTTTTGTTTTGGGGTGGGGGGTGGGGGGGGGGGGTGATGGAAGGCTCATGTTATGGTATAGATCCCAAATATGACTCGACCATTCATTAGGCAAGGTGGATTGATTATTCTCGTCTCGGCCCTAATGGCTATTGTAGTATCCGACGAGTTGGGTGAGGGAGAGGACGACTATTGATGCCTTGAAATTGACTCCTCTAGAGAGTCCTTCATGTGCCCTCCAGAGAGGAGAGAGGCCTAGACGGGAGAACTAGTAGGCACTTCTTAAAGATGACTTGAGCCACAACTAGACAATAGCCCACCAAACTACTAAAAATAGCTTAATAGTCTACTATACTAGTGAATCGAACTTGGGACAAAACCTTTGTAAACGTCAAGCAACACACTTAACGGGGTGGTAAGCGCAAATAGATCATGTGGTAGAGTCTGAAAGAGGTTGCAGTGGAGTAATGGGGGTTGAATATTATACTTACTGTTAAAGCTTTTTGATATGCAGATCCTGGAAGGTTTGTTGGAAAGGAATTGTAACCCTTAACTACTGTGCAGTAGTTCTCCTTCAGCTCTTCCCTATATTTGCTGTCCAAGTGACTGAAGATAGAGAGAATGCCCACCTCGAAAGACAACTGTAAAGATCAACAAACCCATATGCATAATGTATCAGCAAAGCATATTCTAATCTGTTGTGGACCCAATATTCAATTCATGTAGAACCCACCAACCAAATGATGAAATTCTAAGATACCCAATATATATAAAAGCATTTATAAGATAGTAAGGCTCGTACAAGTAACTTTTCTATATGCAAGTAAAACAAAATATATCTTCTCCAACTCTGTAATGACGAGAGTCTCTCAAATAATCAAATAGCGAAATGATGAAATTCTGTTGGAAACCTTGTGTAGACGTATTCGAGATATAACACGGGTTTGAATAGTAAAAACAACTTTTCTGATTGCGGATAGAACATCATTTTTTCCCAAGAGGAGTGAGAATCTATGAACTAAAACTGTCAAGGCCAACGAATTACAAACCTTCTTCATCTCACGGAAGGTGTTGATGACTTGCCCGATGGCCCATGATTCCAAGGAGGAAACGACTAATGCTTCAATATCGGGAATTAGTTTTCGAATTGCTTCAGGCGATAGTGAGCTCTGAACCAGCTTCCGGAGGTTAGTATGGTAGTCTCCTTGGTGGAAAAACAGTGCTGAAGGACCAATCATCTTCTCTTTGCTCGTTGGGTATGTGGGTTTGAACAAGTGAGCATGAGTCACCAGCACAAACTTTGCTGCCTCAGGGCTTGCTAGCATAACACAAGGACAGCCAAGTATGTGGGTTTTAAATATATCTCCATATCTGAAAACATATCAACTCCATTAGATCATACTTCCTATATGTGCGTGTGTGTGTGAAGAAAGATTAAAAATGGGAGAAAATCAGAAGTGGAATTGAGCTATTGGTATTTATTTACGGATTTATAGAGCAGGCAGCTGGTATACTACCATAATAAAATTGCCTTTTTTATTTTTTATTTTTTATTAATTCGGTTCAGATTTTTGTTGGCTTTGTTGGGGAGCTCGTGTTGTTTGTTACATCACCTCCAAAAGGATATAAGTTGTGTTAAAATCGAGAAAATTACACTTTTTTGCTTATTGGCCAAGAACACATGTGGGTCTTGTGAGTACTAGAGTTGAAGAGTGTCTCCTATTTGTGTGTGTGTGCAAGAAAAGATTAAAAATGGAAGAAAATTAGCAGTGACAATTTGTTAGTGGTACAAACTTTTTCTGCTTTGTGGTGAAGAATGCATTTGGGTCTTGAGAGTAGAGTTGGAGAGTCTCTCCAATACATGGCCACCCCATTGAACCTGGGGGAAGCTTGGCCCTTTCTTTGTGTAATTTCGACTGTTTTCTCTTTTCTTTCCTTGATAAGTAGTACAAGAGTAGAGTAGAGAGAAAGAGCAGGATGTATGTAAAAGTAGAGCAAATTTCCATTGAAGTGTTTGTTCTCTCTCTCTCTCTCTCTCTCTCTCTGAGCTCTTGTTGTGGCTGTGATGTGGTTGTTTTGGTTGAAAGGAGTGGAGGTGGTATGCGATGCTGCTGAGGATCAATTGAATGAGGGGATGGGGGTAGAATGGGGGTTATATATAGTGTGAGGAAGAAGTGGATAGAAACAAATCTGGTAAAGAGGAAGGTGACTTGCCAAATATTGGGCGTGGGGCGTCCTAATACGGGTATTGAGATTCATATATATCCAACGTGGATGGAAATTGGGCCGCTCTATATGTCTATCATCACTTTACCATGTCATGTAAATGGAAGCACATGAGGGCTAGTGTGGAAAATGAAGAGGAGGAGTAGGAGGAGGAGAAGGAGAAGTGACCGTTATCCCAGTGGTGGGGTTGAGTTTGGGCTAAAATGTAAGTTCGGACGGTTTGAATTCAATTCTCGTGAATGATCTTGAGTTTGACCGACACATGTGGTTCTTTATTAAGTATTTGAGATTTAGTTTGTAAAAGATAAGTCTAATGTGACTCTAGCTTGGAGAGGTTTCTCGTCACATAAAAAAAAAGTTTGAAACTATTATTTGTTGAATTATAAAAATTCAAAGTATTGGCAATATGCACCATGTACATTACAAGGGAGGGAGGGACCTTACACAAAAAGAGTCATATCAGGACTCCTGAGGACATTGTAATTTCGTGTGTAAGGGTGAAATTCAGAGATCTACAAAAGAATGTCAAAAGCGAAGGCAGGCCTTTGTGTCCCTATCGACGCTAGGGTGCGAAAGTATGGGGAGTGAACATGAGTAAATATCTTGGTAGTTCATTATTTAAACGATGAATGTTTACTCTTAATCTAAATTTCCTTGAGGACACATATTTCTCTTTCCATTATGTATATCTCTTGTGGTACAAAGTGATACTACCAATCATCTAAAAATTTAAACTATTATAGATGATATAACTTAAGTATTTATTTAACCCTTAACAGTGGTCCAGTATTTTAGCATGACATCGGATAATCTAGAAGTCTCAGGTTTAATCTTTTCTTACATTCTCTAAGGGTTAACTACATTTGTCTCTTTAGGGACATAGTCTAACTCAGCTCAAATCACGGTAGCCAATAACTGAACTCAAGAGAGTAGTCGGCGTAAGATTGAACACTCTGTAAAAAGAAATAACTTAAATTATTTATTTATTTCAACGTAAAATAGTTCAAAATTGAGGTCCTCTTCCTGTTTAATATTCAAAGAGAGTGACTGCGTTAGGTGTATAGAGAATTAGGCCTTGTTACACAAACAGGAATTACACTTCGACCCCACGGAAACACAAAATTAGTACATGAAGCACAAGGGACGGTTGGTCCTGAATGCTATAATATCAGTATCAACTATGTGATTTCCTTTACCTACAGGTTGGGCATATATTCTATCACTTTTGCCTACCAAGACAAGATAGCTCAATGATGCGATGCTTTAGAATCAAACCTCCTGTCCCAAAAAATAGGAATATTTTCTTGCCAAAAAAAAAAAAAAATACACACCTCATTCAAAGCAATTGAGTTGTTATGAAAATAATACTATGTTTGAAAAAGTATGAACTAGTTAAAATGATCGAGATGAATCTCGTTAAGAGATCATAAATACTATGCTTGTCGGAGTTGAAGTTTTTCGGGTGAAAGAAGAACTTATATTTTTTAAAGTGTTTAATATAAATATGCATTATTTTTTGTAAAATAGAAATTTTAGTTTTACAGATAGTGAGAGATAATAATAAGAAAGAACTGGGGGGTAAAAGTAGGAACATTGAAATTATTTTTGGAAGGTGGGGTAATTTATGTCATTTCGCAATCTAAAGGACTCTAATTGCGAATCTTGAAAACCAGCGTTTGTGCATGTGACTCCACGTGCTAGGGATGTAACCCAGTGAATCGGCGGTGCAGTCCTGCTTTCAAATTCGAGCCACTAGGATCTCAGACCTTCCAGATCGGATGGTCACCATGTAATGTCTCTTTTAGTGTGGGCCCACGTTGGTGGTACGGACTGGAACTTTCGAGAGTATGGGACCCTGTTCGTACTCAAGTCTCCTGTGTGACGTTGATTCGATGAAATGGACGTCGGTCGTAGCTGGATTTGACACGTGTCCAAATCTTGGTGGTCCATTATCGCGAGAGTTCGGTGACGAGAACGCACTGGTGCAGTGTGGCCGTGATTCCAGAAGCAGAATACAATTGACATGTTGGCTACCATACGCTCCTAACTGTTGTCGCCCTTTTGAAGCACATTTTGAGTTAACTACCTACTTAGTCCTTAAATTATATAGTTTAAGTTAATTAAGCAATTTAACTTTAGTTTGTGCTAATTTAGCCTCTCAACTTGCCAATGTGTGTCAATCAAATCCTTCCATCTAATTCAGCTATTTACTGTGACAGACAAACACACGCCTGACTCATGTGAGACACTTTTTAGGGGTAATTAAGGAAAAATGATGTATTTTGACTCCAAATCTTCCACAACTTCCCTCTTTTACAAAGCATAAAGAGCAATATTCAGTGCTTCCCTCTGTTTATGTGCTGGGTTTTGCAGAAACAGAGTAATTTTCAAAAAAAAAAAAAGGGAAAGAAGGAAAATTTTAATGACAGAATTTTGGATGTGCTTTGTAATTGCGGAAAGAGGGTCGTAAAGAAAACGTCTTAGATGGATTAGAATTCCAGAAGAAAGTTTTTGACTTGTCTAAACATGGGTGTAGGTATCTAGCTTGTATGAAGAATTCCTTTTTTTCTTCATGCTTATTGTTTGCATATTTTAATGTTGCAAAATGGTGGGTGTGATTTTTTCATTTGGCAAGACCCGCCAATGTGCATGCGTGCACGACAAGTGATTCCAGGACTTCTTCGAAGATTGAATACTGTAGAGGCTCAACAAGGAAGGTTAAGCAAGAGAGAAAATGTTATAAATAACATTAGGAGTTTGTTGTCTCCTAATTTGACCGTTGCTAAACACAAATGTAGAGGAATCAAAGAAGGATGTTTTGTAGTTGTAATTGATGATGCTTGCATTCTGGTCATCATGTTTAATGTAGTACTGAATGTAATATTTTTTTTTCTAATGAATGAAATTATCTTTTGGTATTGAATTCTAAGTCTTTTTCTACTGATTTCATAGTACTAAAAAACACATTCCATAGCATTGAAAGGCCAAGTGTTTGATTGCACTTGACCTTGCATTTCATCTATTGTTGTCTCATGCTCTAAGTATATCTTAATCACTCTATATGTTGGTATCCATTCCACCATTCAAAGAATGTTTCTATCACTTTCCAAAACCCTCAACTCATGATAATGTCCATTGCAGGAATTTTATACCAACATGCCCTTACATTAGCACACCCAATCTCTTTGGTCATGCAATGAATCTCTGAAATTGAAATTTTTTCTGCATCAACCCAGTCAATGTACACAGGAGAAGCACCCACATATTTCTTATATGGTATGCTTATAAGCTCACTGCCCATAGTGTACGTCAATGCTGAATAAAGTAGAGTATATGGCTGAAACCATGCAAAATTAAAGTAAAAATAACATAAACAAATGGATTACAACACTTTATGGGAACCTATGTTATTGGGACCATTCACAAAAATATATTATAATATTCTAAAGCACAAATAATCAAACTTCTGAGACCACTTACGTCAACATATAATACAAGACAAAAAAACAAAAGGCAGATCTTTCAACACCAATAGAAAATTGAATCCCAAAAATCAAACAATATATTATTCTTCTTCATTCAAAACTTAGAATCATGATTTACAATATATTTTATCTGGATCTAAAAATTGATCTACAAATCGCAACACCCAAGACATCGTACAACGTACTTAAAATACCAACAATATATTGACGTGCAACATATACGGTACATTACTTGTCATGAGAAAAAACCATACTTGAAATACTAAAATTATTCACGTGACTATTGACGTATAGTGTATGCGTACACTTGAAGGCGAACAATGAAAATTAATGTCAAATACCATTAGCAATTAGTAGTTACATTCCAAAACTTTAGTCAGAAATAGTACAAGATTGCATTGCAATTTTTGCTTTATCTCTGTTATTTATAACAAATCTTGTCATATTTCGCAATTCATGTCTATTAATAATGAACTTTAAGCACTAGTTTAAGTTCAAGTTTTGGTGGGTGGGTTGTGCCAAAAATTATTACTCTACTGTATAAGTAGAATATTTGAATGCAGTGAGTGAGAGAGCATGAGTTTTAACTACTGGTAATAAGATTGTTTAACCGAAACAATAGTTCAAGTGGTAATAAGAATTAGTTATAAATTCAGAAGTCATGAGTTTGAATTTTGATAAATTTTTTGATGCTAAGCCATGAGGAATTTATCCCTACCCTAATCTCGGCGTGGATGACTTGCCTTTGACCGAATTGGAGAGGGATTAATCGAGGTGCGTATAAAATAGTTTGAACACCCCATACCACTGAACCAAAAAAAAAAATAAAATTTATTTTATTAAGGCCTATGTATCAAGAGTATGAGTAGTAGAAACAACCTCTTGGTATGCATGAATTAGACTGCGTAAGCCTAATTCTCCCCAAATCTCATTGGGGGTGGAAGTCTCACACAATGAACAGTTTTTATTTTTTATTTTTAATGAATACGGAGAGTTGAGAAGATATTTTTGAAGTATAATAGTTAGTTCATTGTACATAAGACTAACAAACTTATAATTGACTATGTTTTGAATGTAACTGCTCTCTCTTTTTTCTGGTGAGAAGAATAAACTGCCCATAATACAGCAAGATTTTCCGAGACAAAATCTTAACAGTAATTTTTGCTTGATATTTGACTTGTTTTCCGGTTGTTAATAGATTTATGGATAAAACTATGTGCACCAAATCATTTGTAATTGTTGGATCAGTTATGGAATTCCCTGATCTCACAACTATAGATGATTTAATGCATATTTTTGATGTTAGATTTCCAGTTAAACTTATTTATTACATAGGCCTATTGATTTTTCGGCCACTAATTAATTAAACGATAGTAGTAAATTAAATTAGATGCTTAAATTCAAATAATTAATGCTGCTCAAATGAAATTTTTTTCTTTTTTGTTAATGAGGAATCTTTTTAAGTTAGGGTCACTTTGGACCCTAGATATGGGTAATCATCTGTAAATTACATGTATTAATTGACTCTAAGAGACATTAACAAGAATCGAACTCCTAATATCCAAATCTACGGGTTATTCAGATTCATGTCCATACCGCGGAACTAGCTGTGCAAGTTCAAATCTAACTATACCCCCACTTGTAATTAAAATACTTTTAAAACCTACCAAGACGCATCATTGGATAATTTGGATGAGCCTACGACATTCGGAGAACCCAGAATCATAGAGGGCCCAACTACAAGTCTACAATAATCCAAATGGACTAAAACACTTGGACATGTTTGATTTAATAATTTTTAAAAATAATTTTTAAAAAGAGTTTTAAGAAAATATTTTTAAAAATTTTTAAATTGCAAAACCTGTTTGATTATATATTTTGAAAATAATTTTAAAAAACAAAATTTATAAAATTTATTTGAACAATAATTCACAATTTTCACCTCTCCTTCAACTCTCTGTCCCTCTCTCTCTCTTCAACTCTCTGTCTATCTCTCTTTCACCACCCAAAAACCCACAACCACCCAAAAAATCATCACCGAACCACCTACACAACAACTGAATCCAGAGCCACCCAAAAACCCACAACCACCCTCGATTTATATATATATCTAACTAGATCTAAACCAATCGCCGATTGAACCTATCATTGATATGTGTTTTCGATCAGATCAGTTCAGATCAAAAAAAAATTAGATCTGTGTTTTCACCAAATGAACCAGATCTGAACCAATCGTCGGAGAGCTCCAATGTCTATGTGTGTGTTTTTTGCCAGAGAAGATGCAGTCGTCGAAAAAGGCGCAGTCACCGAAGAAGACTTCCGTTTGAGAGAGTATGTGGAGAGAGGGAGAGAGTGTGATGAAAGTTTGGGAGGACAAAGGCAAAAGAAAAAAAAAGTTTTTATACTATGACTTGCTTTGGTTCTAAGAGAACTCGAAAGAGAGACCTCATTAAAGAGTAAACTGTCTCCCGTGTTTTCAAAGTTTTGGCAAAAAAGCTTGAAAACAAGTTGGACTTGTTTTTAAGTTTTATGCTCTAATTTCTTATTTTTTTTCCAAAAATTAGAGAACAAAACCACAAACCAAACAACTTTTGAAATTTTTTTGAGATTTGAGAACAAAAATAGTTTTCAAGAATCAAACCAAGCAGCCCTTGGACTTTGGAGGCATTTCTCTTTTCCATATATACCTGCTCATCCTCTTCGCCTTGGGCAGCTTTTGGAGCTATCATAACATTATGGTACCAAATTCGATATCATATCAATATTTATTATTAAATTTAATTAGGTTATGATGTAATTTATCTTAAAATTAATCTTAAACGATCGTATTTTGTTTTAATTTCAATAAATTGAATTATAACATCATTTTTATTTCATAACAACAATCGATATAATGTGGGGGAAAAAAAAAGTAATACTTGAAATTGTAATCTTATCTATATATGTATGTATGGTGAATATGTTAGCTACGTAAATGAGTCAGAATAAAATCTAGGTAGATTTTCAAAAGAGATATCCAATAGAAAGTGCCATTGCAATACGGCACTGCGATCACAACTCAAAAAAAAACAAAAGGATCCTTCAGGATAGGCCTTTGACGAGTTTTCACGGGTGACAATGGCCCTTCTGAGTGACTGTGAGGGGAGTTTTTCTTCAAAACGATGAAGATTTAAGTGAAAACTACAGTAATGACAATGGGTTCTTCATCTCGATTTTTCTTGTTTAGGGATGGGATTCAAGTCTCCATAAATACAATAGTTTAGAGAGGCTAAACCTACTTTTTAGAATCTAGAGCACGTAGTCAACTTTCGTTTCGTCCTCGATGTAGGTGCAATGGAGTCTCTTACAAATAATTGTGTGATGCGGAGGGACAAAATACTCCCTAACGAAAATGTAGAGTTGCCTATGATCTGCATGTCCATTTTTTGTTAGGAAAAACATGGGTTCTTTGCTGATGATACCATGATCAGCAAATAGATTTTTACTTATCACAGCTCAATCTCGAATAGCACGACTTCATTGACGCCATAGATGGGGTGACTTGCAAGCCCTTCCAACAAGGAAAGATGCACATAGCACCCGACTCTAGCACATTAATTAGCTCGTGCAGGGGTTTTAGGAGCTCAACCTACTCGAGAATTGTCATCCTACTTCTAGAAAGTCTCGTTACGTTATACTTAGAGAATATCATTTCTAACGGCCTTAATATTCTGTCTATCAAATTCTAACAAACTTGGATACCATGCGATGATGACGGAGAGACCACCCCACCTGTGGGCATATGTATACACGAATGCCCTCTTCATGTAAAGACATCAAATGCATTGTAACTTATCTTCTTTTTTAAGTAATAGAAAATCTCCAAAAGAGTAAGACACTCTATTAGAATGAATTAGTTAAACTTCATCATTGATAAACCACTGCAATGAACGTGTTCTTTTTGCTATTGTACACTTGAATTATAGCACACATGCCTCAAACTCTTCAACTTAAGCAATCCAATGTCATTCACACGTCATCATTTGCTATTGAGTCTTTTGACCCTAAGCCGAGCTCAATATATTGTCAAGCTTGAAATGGTGACTAATTGGGCTCAATATTACATCTCAAATAAGCTTTTCAAATAGTTGATCTAAAGTCAAATCGAACTTATTGTCTCGAAATTAATGAACATCGAAAGAAAATTACTTAAATTTTGTAATAAAGACAGCTGTAAAATTAGATTTTTTGAGTTTGAATCGTGATAATTTTTTGAAATCAAGTTATGAGGAATTATCTTTCATGAATGTCTTAGTCTCGATATGAATGACTTGTCTTTAACCGGATGAAATAAGAGATTAATTAATGTGTACAATTTTACTAAAACACCCATTACAATCGAAGGAAAAGAGAAAAAGAAAACCACTCATTCCAAGATTGATGTTGGATTGGTTAGTGGCTCACGTCACTACGACAGATTAAACACGCCTCTTCTTGTGTCCTATAAACATGTTATGCACTGTCTCTTTCAAGACACCACTATCACAGTTTTTTCAGCATTAGTGGATTCACATCAGCGTCTTTTAAGACAATTATTCATGACCTTCATAATCAGATTTAGTCCAATCCCAAATCCAAAATTCAAATTCGAATATAAATATCCAAATAAATTTTATTTTTATAGAGATTTATGTACTTCTTGTAGAGACGATCATAAGAACAAAATGGACTTTATGTATCTTTTTTTTCTCTCAATCCGAAAGCAAGATCGAATGATATTTCGATTCATCCCCATTTTCATGAAACTATTCCTCAAGCAAGGTAGACGATAAATCATCGAAGGGTTTGTATGAATACTAAAATGGTAATCATTTTCACAACTTATATCCGAAGTTGAAGCCAAAAATAAGATCTAAAATTCAACCAAACCCAAGTAATTTCCTTAGGCACGAATTTAGCAAAGTATATCTAAATATCAACCTAATCTCTTCAAACAATCACTCAATTTTATCCAATATACATATTAGATTGAATATTAATGTGCCAAATTTTGTATACACAAAATATGGTATAGGAGGTTAGGTTTAAGAATAACCGTCAATGATCTATACAAACTTGTATCTGATTAATCGAATACGAATCAAAATCCGATTCATTAACAGATCAATTTGTGATTATACAATCATAAGGAGATGTGAAGTTGAGAACAATGAATCTGCGGCTCCATTGGTTTTATCATTGAAGTCTATTCTATTTGAATTCAACAAAGAATTTCTCAATGTCCCAGTAAACATGAACTCCTCAAGTCGGCTACTCTATCCACAAGCTTTACAACAGCAAATTGGCACAGCGCAGCTGGATATTTGTAATGGTGATAACACCTCCTCCATAAACTGTCCCTTTCAATGGGATTCTTTAATATCTCATCAAGATCAAGATTGAAATACATCTCTGAAATTACTGTATGAATTTTCAGTACTTGTGATTCCTGCACATTTTTGGTAAATCAGTCAGTGTTCTCTAGAAGTTAATGTACCCAACTTGCACATGTTAATAAAACAAGGGAGTATATTTCATGCCTTGACTGTATTTATTAATTGAGACCAAATTAGGTAAAAAAAAAATTAATAAAAGAGATTCTCGTCACTGCAAAAAGAAAAAAAGTCATCTCATGTATATAACCGTCTCGTCACTGCAAGATTAAAGAAAGTCATCTGATGTATATCACCGTCTCATGCATGGGAAGTGGCTTTTCCTGGAACTTGATTTTAATTCTCAACTTACAATGAGCCACCCATATCCATATGCCAAGGCTCAACATCAAACTAAGTGTTTCAAAAGGTTAGATTTCTACTTTGAGTTCTTTACTTTGTATGGGCTACAGCTACAATACAAATTATTACCAAATCAAAGGAGCTTATAGTCAGCGTGGTGTTACACAGACCACATGACTTTTGGGGTTCAAGGTTCTCTGTTTGTCTCTGCTTTTTCTACGTAGAACTAAATACTCATGCTTATATTATATCACAAGTCAACTGATTTCAGATGAGTGTATGTGTCGATGTATTTCTGAGAAAATCTTTTCAAAAGATAAAAGAATAGTCCCAAACAAGACGCACAAGTTCTGGAGTTTTCCCAGGAAACAAACAGTGGAAGTGCTTCCGAATACCCAGAATGATGCTCATATCTAACAGGATTACCCTTTCCCTTTAATTCCGTTTTTGGAACATACGGCTGATGGTGGTCCATTTAGCCCACTCAATGATGACTCATCAATACCCTCAGATAATGATTGAGGTAATAAGGTCCTCAAGTTTAATAGGTATCCAAAAGTTATTTTTTAATATTGGATTTTTTTTTTCATTAATTTAATCGTCACAAATAAAGTAATACAAGACCTACAGGTAGAATTTATTTTTTAATATGATGCAAAAAAGCAAATTTCGATATGGGTTAATAGCACTTTTAATCCCTAAAATATTCAATTCGTGTCACTTTGGTCTTTATATAGACAAACCGTCAAATTTTTTTGATGAAAGTGGTCACATGTCAGTTTTTTAGATGATATCACATATTCAACATGTGATCATTCCGTAAAAAACTCAACGATTTATCTATGTAGGGATTAAAGTGACACAAATTGAATAATTTAAAAATCAAATTGATATAATGAGAACAAAATTGACAAAAAATATATACTTTATGAACTAAAGGTAGTATTAACCCTTCCGATATCATAGCACTATTTGAAGTTTTGTCGTTTTGTATCGAAGTTGGATTCCTTATGTATATTTTCTTCATTTTTTTCAAAGGATAAATTATTCACCGTGAATTCTAGTAAAAATCACTATAAATAAGTAATTCTTACACTAATATGTGTGATTGAATTTTTTCGTAATCGCAATGGAAAAGTTTTCTATGAACTTTCTAACTTTTAAATTTAGAAAATATTATTTTAACATAATTTATGAATATAATTAATTGCAGCATTTAACATTGTAATTCACAACTAATTCAATAACTATAAATTAGTTGTTCAAAATACTTTCTCTTCACGCTTTGCATCTTTATCTTTTCAAAAAGCCTAGAACTCATTCTTGGTGATCTGCATTAATCCTATTTCAAGTGGGAAGTCTCTTGAATAAATTTCTTTTTCTCTAAAATTTCTTGATTAGGTTTTCAAATTAAATTTTTATAACATTGTTGAACAAATTTTTCTCACATATAATTTTCATAACTTTAAGTGTGTTCCTGTTCCCCCACCAATGAACTCAAGGGCCAGCTAAGATTTGGGCCATGCTAAGACCTTCAAGTGAAAAAAAAACCCACTCTCCTTTGAACAAGGTGAGAACTACAATATTTGGGCCCTTCTATGTGGGACACAACGCTTTTTCTAGGGCTTTTCACCAGCCTCCTGGGTACTGCAAGTCCATATCTTTGAGTTTGATCCAAATTTTTGTGTTTTTTTTTTATTTAATGGTTAGGAGTATTTGAGTCAACTTCCGTACATTTTGATTAATTCTCTCTTCAGTTTAGTCAAAAGTAGATCATCCACGTTGAGATTAGGGTATTCATGAAGGATAAATCTCCCATGACCTGACCCTAAGGATTATCAAGATTCGAACTTTAGACGTCTGAATTTACAGCTTATTTATGTTTTTTTTTTAAAAAAAAAATTATAACTGAGACCTCGTCTTTGTTATCATTTGAATTATTCTTAAGATTAGTTGGTTCGAAATTTGAAATAAACAGCACGCACACAAACAGGGAAAAAAACTGGGTCACGTTGGGAACGCTCAATTAATATTTTTCGATTCGAATATTAAGAATCTCAATCTTTTAAATCGTATGCCTTATTTTTTGTTTTTATAAACTTCACGCTCCTTAAAAAAACAAGAATTAGAAGGTAGTCAAAGCTTCCATTTCCTATATTTCAAATATAGCCGTATGCTTAAGGAGTACAATCAATATGAGGTTGAAAACAAAAGGTGCCAAGTTGAACCAGTTTATTCCGACTGAGATGGTTTTTATAAGGGGTTCATGGAAGGTTGTAACTCAGGGATATTTCTATTTCCATAAATAGAAGTTTGCATACAATGATTTACAATTTTTTTACTCTTATTTCGATTCATAAGTTCAATTTATTTATAAAATCACAATTGTCTGAAGCAAACATAATCTAAAAATCCATGTGCCTTTTAACATTATTGCACTCTTAATCGATCCTTCTATGTAGTCCCTTATACGAGATCATACGACTTCTTGCTCAATTCATTCAAGTCCATTAGATTATCTTTTCATTTTTCTCCAAGTTAGTGAAGGGACTACTATTAATCTAGACAAAATCTGGATGAATTGAGATGGTATTTTGTAAATAAATAGTTATTTTGAATATATTAATCATTTCTTTATTTTTCGATAGCCTGGAAGGAACAAAAGAAATATTTTATTGTTTCTTCAATAATTTCTGATCTCTAGTAAACCTCTCGGTAGGATATCAGTCTTCCCCTTCCTCTCTCTCTCTTGGGACAGCACCAAAGTGATTAACCAAAATGTCCACTACCAAGGGCACCAAGTCCTCACAAGGTACACCCTTCTTATAAACATCCCCCAAATGCGAGTCACTTCCAATTCTCCCTCCTAAGAACACATCAACCCCTTCAACAACTTTCCCATTCTTATTCCTTGTCATGCACCCCATGAATCCAATATCTGCCACTTGAACCTGCCCACAAGTATTTGGGCAGCCTGTCCAATGCATCCTCACAGGTTGAGTCACAGACACTCGCAGTTGCAACTCCTCAGTAACCTTCAATGCCCGTGCTTTAGTCTCAATAATGGCCTGCCCACAAAACTGATTGCCAGTGCAAGCTACTAGACCTTTCATGAGAAGAGGCGGTTCGGGTGAAAACCTGTCCTTCAAAAGAGGCTCTTTAAGTAAAGCATCAAGTTTCGAGTTCTTAATGTTTGGGATTATGATGTTTTGTTCCACAGTGAGTCGGAGTTCACCTGAGCCATATTCGTCTGCTAGACGAGCAAGCTCATCCATGTCATCTGCGTGGACACGACCAACTGGAATGTGAAGACCAACGTAGCTGAAGCTCTCCTGTTTCTGTGGATGAACACCAAGGTAATCTCTTCTCTCCCATTGTTTCTGAATTAGGTCTTCTGAAGATGCCCTTTCTAGCTCTTGTTGGGGCATTCTCTTCTCTACTTCTTGCCTGAATGCTTCTGTGCCCTGCATTATTAAAAAAAGAAAGCAAATGATATAAGATTAAATGGAATACTTGCTTATTTTGGCTCTAATTCTGCTCATGATCTGAATAATGCGGTACTTGGGTAGGTACTTTCAGCATTCAGGTTAGGTAAAAAATCTCGATCCAATTTAAATTGAGGCAATACTCACGTTGGGGTTCTCGTGTTTTCAAGAGCCAACCAAATTAATGAATCCGATTTCAAACCGAATCCCAACTCAGCCTTTGCAACACAAGAATTCGACACGTTGAACCCAATTTGACTTGTATTCCAACCCAAAGAACCCAAGAAGGGAACCTGACTTCAACTCAAACTTTAGGTCATGCTATGTAATCGTGCACAAGACGCACGTTGAACTATTTGAGTACAATTCAAATCCGGATGAGGGATTTGATAACTTGGGTTGGGCCCGAATTAAACTGTCAGTCTTAAAGTGAATGAATTAGAAATAAGTATGGAAATGAGACGACTCTTTCTTGAACTATATCATAAACAAGTCTTCTGCAAGTAAATGAGAAGACTAGTTCGCCAAGATCTGTAGCACAGCAGCCAACTGCCTATTCTAGTAACTTAATGATTGGCGTTCAAGCAAGCGCAAGCATGAAGCAACGCAGCAAGGAACCTAGAGTCTGTGAGTGAGGTACTAACCCCAAAACAAAAGTCAATTCAGAGAACCAAAAACACGGAGCAAGCAAAGTTCTTTCCTGTTCAAATAAAGCAAGCGGAAAAAGTAGCAGGTTCACAAAAAAGGGAAGAAAATCAACCTACCCGAGTGCACCCTAGATTCTAGACTGTCATGGTTATGGTCTACCATATATTGATGCCATAGACTAACTTGCATGTACAACTTAATTAGGTAAGCATTATTACTTACAAGCTCATCAATCAACCACATCATTCTGGTCTTTTGCCTGTTTCCTCTTGTACCAAGATCTCTGTATGCCTCCAATATTGCTTTGCACACTGAAAGTATATCATCTGCTGGAACCCAGGCATCAAGAGGAATTGCCTCTGCACATCTCTTGGGGCTGAAAAATCCACCCACCAGCAGATTGAATCCAAACCGTCCATTCTTCGTGGCAGGCATGTAGGCGAGATCATTGATGTGGGGGTGCTCGAAAAGATCATGAGAGCCCACTAAACACACATTCCACTTCCTTGGTCTGCAGAAACAAAAACACAAGTAAGGCCATTGAAACAACTCAATACTACCTCTGCCTGTCTTTTTCTTTTTTCTGTTTTTTTGAGGTTAGCAATGTTAGTCAAGCTGAGTTTGTTGTTCAGTTCAATTGTGATTGATCTACCTCAAGCTTGACTAGGAATAAGCTTAAGAGCATTTGAGCAGAAAACAAGCTTAGTTTCTCAGCAAAAATTTTCGAAAATTATTCCACAAAACATTCTTAGTCCACATTTTCAAACATATGTTAGAGCAGAAAAAAAGTATATATATTTTTAAGCTATCCGGGGATAAGTCTTCCATTGTTCATATTTCAAATTGAGTTTGTTTAACAATAAAATTGGGATTACCATATAGACAATATTCTATTTTAGCCGAGCTGCGAAACTTATAAATCATACCAAATTCGGATCATTTTGCAATTTGAATAGACATGGATGAGCTATAACTGACAAGATCAAATTACTGGGATCATCAAACTGCCTGAGTCTTAAATCAACCAACGCTCATCAAATATTCACTAGAAAAGGAAGGGAATGTGTTGGACTTACAAGTTGGTGAAAGCCGGATTGCCAAGTGAATTAGCAGTAATAAGCTGCGAGAGCAAGTTGGTGTAAGGCCTTGTGTCCACAATCTCATATGGATCAATCCCAGCAAGAGGGTTCCCAACTGGGTTCCTCACATTATCCATCCCACTCTGCAGGCTTGTCAACCCAACTTCTTCAAGTCCTTTTAGTATCTCTGGCACATCAGGCAAAACCACTCCACGAATTTGCCAGTTTTGCCTTGTAGTCACATCGGCACAACCCTCCTCCCCATATTGCCTTATAACACTTGCTAGGTATCGAGTTTGAGCACTTGTTGTCACTCCATTGGGGAGTTTCAACCTCATCATGAATCTACCATCTGACCACACCATTCAAAAGTTGGAAAAAAAAAAATTGAAGATTAGAGCAAGAACAAATGAATATGCAGATGTTAAAAGCGACAAATTTTGACTAGACACATTAAATTAATAGAAATTGATAGAAATCAGTTAGAAAATTAGAGTTAGAGTTGACAAATTCTCAATTCGAATCCAAAAATATCACGAGAAACTAACATAAACAACAAATGTGTTGGGAGTGTCAAACATGAATGGTTCAATTCTGACATAGCAAACCTGTTTAGCAGGTCCGTATGGAGAAAATATTAAAATTTTTTGTTTCTTGATCAAATATGGTATGAATTTGAGTTTTTGGGTCACGATTATGTCCAAACGCGATATGATTAACAAATAGATCGGATTATTGTCAAGTCATTTGACAATATTAATTGAGTGAAACACAATACAGAGTATTTGATACAAGCACTAAAAGGACACAATGTCACAAACTGAACCAACACGACTCCATAAATAATGTTCTATTAAACAGTGAGTTAAGGACCAAACAAAGAAATAGCTTATCCTGCCGTATTTGATTTGATTTATTCTGTTTGATTGCTTTGAAAAATTAGGAACAGAAATGAGAATGTTTTTGCATTTGGGTTTGAAGTGAAAATTATCAAACACCAACTGCAATTTTCTTCCATCTCTATCCAACATTGGCAAGTAAACCTAAGACTAGGCTTGTCAATCGTGGTAGGTGAATCGGGTCTGTGTGTCTAGTCTTAATGGGTTTGTGTAAAAAAAATACTCACTCAAATTCAATTCGTTTATTAATTTGTGTCTTACAAGTCGTGTCACATAGGGTTCATGTCATTTATAAATCATATATAATTGGCATATAAACGAGTTGTGTCATGTATTTTATTCATACCCAATTTATTTGTTAATCGTGTTAGGTCGGTCCCCTCGAGATAGCTTAAAAAGACTGTTCATACTTTATTAACGAGGGATATCATATTTTGACACCCTTACCTAAGACCCATTTGTTTAATTTGTTCAGCTAATGTATGTACTATGAACAGATAAAAAAACACTGATCAGTAGAAACAGATTTGTGTTCTGGAACTTACACTGATGCTTCCTCCTATGAAAGAGACCAAGCCACTTGAGCCTCACATCAATATCATCCTTAGTGACCTTCGATTTTTCAATCTCATCAAATGGAATCTTAGCAAGTTCATCAATACCATTTTCCATGAACAATTTCATGGGTTCTCTCTCCAACTTCACCTTCTCCTGAGGATTTAAACCTCCCCTAAACTTCTCTTTCAATACGAAATACCCTTCTCTCTCCTCCACTCTCGGCTCCAGCCTCATGGCGTCGACCTCTGCCGCCTCTGCCGCTGTCGGTGCCACCGTCTGTGGAGGAGTGGCATAGAGCGTAGACTTATACCGGTCTGAATTTGGCAATGAGGGTGCCAGAAATTTCACAGAAAGCGATGCCATATGGACGAATCACCGGGACAATTGGGTGGCGATAATGGTGGTTGGTGGTGGTGGTGGTGTAAGGAGGAGAGAGGAGGGAGACCATTTATTAGTGTGGGGTTTGAAGTGAGTTGGACATTTGACCATGTTTTTTTGTGGACTCTTGGTGGTTCCCAAAGGTCGGTTTTTAAGCTAATGTGGCATTGTGGTTTGAGAAAGGCGACAGTTACAATGTTTTTACCAAAATGTCCCCGTTGCCGTTATTTTATTATAGGCGGCCAAGAGAATGGGATTCGAATCCTCCCCACTACAAGTTTTCAAAAAAAAAAATTCTTGATCCATCATTCATCGTTAATGAGCGAGAAATCAATATATAAGTGAGTCTCACTTGAATGCATAATAAATGATATACCCAAAAAAAAATTAAAAACAAAAAATATATTAAAAAGAATTTCACTTCAAGAGTTGTGCCAAGTGACGATACTTTTTGTCGAATTTTTGAAGTAAATATTTAGTGTAACAATTACACTACATCAATAATACCACGTAGTATCAACATTTAATAGGAAATAAGTCTAACCATCTGAGTCGAATTTCTCTTAACTTGTACTTATCGACATTATTTCTATCATTTTTCATGCTAAATTTTATTATTTTCGATTTTTTCATACACTTATCTTAATATTTTTATATTTGTATATATCACAAATGATTTTTCAACGTTTTGTATCTATGAGAAAGTACAGGCTCCTTAAGAGACAAGAGATAGTGAAATAAAGAAAGGGTGGGTGATGCTTGGCCCCCGCGAAGGGCCAAGAGCCAAATAACTCCACCACACCTCTCGTACCATGGTCCATGGTGCAAATAAACATGAGGCGCCGAGGTTTTAGTCATTCGGTTGGGACAAAAGACACTACAAACTTATTCACATAATAGCAAAAAAATCTTGTCTGAATATACTTTATAATATAAAATATAAAATATTAATTATATAATATTTATATTTTAAGTAAGTGTTTTTATAAATGTACAAAATTAAATAAATGTCTTGACTAACATGAAAAAAGAAATGAATATAACAAAGGAAAAAAGACTCAGAGGTCCATGGGAATAAGCACCAATTAAAGCAAGGTTTTTCTTGGGAAAATTCGTCATTTTCTTTTCTTTCCTTCCCCCCTGTAATCCAAAATTCAGAAGGCCAACTCTGTAATTCTCAAAAATTCCAAAAGAGACAAAAAAAAAAAACATAAAAAAGGGGTAAGTGCAAAAGATAAAGTGCTAAAAATTACATTTTAAAATTCATGGCATTGCAAAATCTAAGAAGAATGAAATATATATATACAATCTTACTTTGCGAGCAGAGAACTTATTTTTGCGACTTAAACTCGTGACTTTCTCCAAGTCATAATAGAACAACTTTAACGTTGTGCCAAAACTTACTATGCGAATTTTATTTTTTAAAAAGAATCTTATAATGCAGAGTAATTCTCTTCTCATTGAACAAAAAATAAACAGTACAATTGTAATTAAGAGACATATCCGTGTGAACCTGGATCCAGATCAAGTATCCCAACAAGACATTAATATAAAAGAAAGGGAAAAAAACACAATAAAAATGGAAAACAGTGCTTAACCTCAATTCTCAAATATTATTTCTACGCGTAAGAGAAATCAGAATCAGTCACTCTACCATAAATAGAATTACCATCTTTAAGATCACAAGTCTCTGCTGCTTTTTCCCTGTCTCTTCAGATGTATTGTTCCCGTTAAAAACAATGGATGATACAGGGAAGGAGTGATAAAAAAAAAAAAAAGATCAGTAACAGATCCAACTGAGATCTCTTTGCAAAGTTTACAGCAAAGGGTGCTGCTCAAAAGAAGTCACTGCTTCGACCCGAGTAAACGATACTCCAAGCTTGCTAGACAAAGATGACTTCAAACTTTGCACATGGGTTGCTTTCAATGTGACTTCTAAATTCGGAATCCCCTTTGAATCTGAAGGTGTATAATGCTTGCCTCTGCGTTATCCCAACAGGATATATTCTGTGAACTCTGAGCTCATCCCCTCCTCTTATGCTATCGGGTCTTTCCTGTTTCCAAATGGGTACGTGTTTCAGAGATATGAACTTTGAGAGCACAGCAGATTCTAAGGCCTCCATAGTCAAATTTCTGGACCTGCCCAGAAAACTCAGAATGAGAATCCTTCAAACGAGTATTTGATTACAGAGATGGATAAAACCATCCCAGCTATCACTACATTTTGAAGATTTCTATCAGGAAGTAAATGCATCCATGTACAGCCATAGATATATACCTGCATAACTTCATACAAACAGAAAGCAACATTTTTGTACGTACTACATTGTCCATTAAGGAGGCAGATGAGATTACCTCAAGAAAAGGGACTCCATCTCAAATGTCCCTCTTTCCCGTGCATATAAATGATACACGGTTTCTAAGCCCCTGGTACACTTGCAAGGCCGTTTTGGAAAACCTGGGCTCTTTTCTTCATTTTCTCGTATCATTGTTGCAAGGTAAATGCACAGACGGCATGATGAATGAACTGCTGCCATATCTACAAGGGCCTTGAAAGAATCAGATGGGCCCTCAAACTTCCACCTGAAAAATAAACACTCGGTTGTTACTCAGACCATTTAAGAATGATTTTCTCCTCTATTTACCCTTCTTTTTGATAGATACCAAGTTAGAAGGAATGTTTACCAACTCCTGAACATGCAACCAAATGGAACACATACTAGAAGGCAAAAGTATGGGAAAAACCATCAAGTTTCTATCTCCAATTCCCCAATGAAATTGGCCAGTGTTTAATAGCCATTAAAGTAATGCTTACCTTACTGACTGATTGTATGCCTCGGGATTTCCGTCAAGGTATTTCATTTTCTTGGCAACTGAATCAACATCTTTGATCTCCCTAATATGCAAAATTGAACCAGGGGAAGGAGCAAATTCTTGTATATTTGGAGCACCAACAACCACAGGAACAGATCCTACATATTTTAGCAGCAGGAGAGAAAACATCAAGCATATGAAATTTTAACGAGTTCCAAACTATAAGTTATTGTGTCAAGCATCTGAAACATACTTGTGTAAATTTTATACTATCAACAATTATTTCCAAATTGCTGTCATGGAAAGTAATGAAAGTAATTTTGGTTATTTTCATCTTGAAAAACTTAGTTTATCCAAAATGGCAAAATAGGTCAGCGAGAGAAGCTCATGCTCACTCTGTATACCACAGATGCCTTAAGAAATCAATACATGAAAAGGCATGTAATCTTATACCTGCAACAAGAGACTGGAAGAATTTTTCAGTGACATAATCCTCCTCGTTGGAATTCTCAAAAGCCAAACTGAATTTGTAGCGCTTCAGGGCTTGAACTTTGTCCACTGCCAAATATTTAAGAACAAGAGACAGAGTATAGAACCTAAGTCAAAAGGTCTTAAATATATTTTTCGATACAAAAAAAAAATCTTAAATACATGACACATAAGAGTTTAGTTTGAGAGTTTAAATACACATAGCAAATGCCAAGTCCAGTAAAAAGATGCTTCACTTCGACTTTATAGCATTGATCAATGTACCAGCTTATTTGTTGGGTTACTTTTTCCCTCATTTTTCGATTATAGCGTGGTCAGTGGGGATGCTATGGAGCTCTAAGCCCATACATCTCTCCAACTCTTTTCACGATCCCAATTAAATTTATCAGACAGATGTAGAAAAAAATGCATGTGTATTTTTCTCCTTTGGGGAATGTGGATTTGTGTTTTTGTGTGTGTGTGTGTGTGTGGTGGTGTGTGGTGTTGGGGGGGGGGGAGGAGAAGTGACTCAAAATTAACTCCAGACAGACTTAAACAGCTTTAAATTTAAGCTCACTCTCTTCTCTATTCCTTTTTTTTTGTTACAACATATAAGTCCGTTTAAGAAAGCCAACGCATTTACTTGTATGAATTTCTTTAATTATTTATTTTACCTGAAAGTAGCACAAAGTAGATATTACATAATGATAGGTTGGAAGCTATCCAACATTCTAAATGAGTGTGAATGCATAAAATGGACACCTCATTAAAAATTGGATCCCAATAATAACAAACAAATTAATCCCAAAGGTGGTAAGCCTCGGCATTTGGACTGCAGCTCAAGGGTTGGACTGAAAGAGCTTTCATCCAGCTCGATATGGGTCAGTCAAGCCTCATGATAGGTCTGGCGGGTAGGACCAATGGTCTTCTTTTTAGCTCCAAGGGTAGGCCTGGTCATCTCCTCCCAGGAAAACAGGCCACCAAAATTCAAAAAGAATGAAAAAATTGCTCGAATTTGGACAAAATGAATTTTTTTTTTTTTTGAAAAGATAGCCCTAGTAGGATCTGTCAGATGAAGGCCAACCTGATGGGCAAGCTGTGGGCCATCCTTTTCTGGAGGGGGCTGGCCTGACCAGGCGATCCAGCCCATTGGCGGCCTGGTCTGGCCCCGTCCAGCCCCCTACCGACCTTACAAATGGCTGAATAAAAGTTAATAGTAGTCACAAATTTCGTGCTACAGGAAACTATCAATTTATCCTTCTCGAAAAGTAAGGAAAACAGTCATTAAAGATGTAAGTTTCAAATTAGTGAGTTCCATACAATACAGTAATTAAAGAAGTTGCATATAATGAAGATATAGAATATTGATGGACGTAGAATTGAAATTATTTTCAGAAACCCAAGGTTGTACTGGCACATCAACACAAGCCTTTACAACATTGAACGCACTTATATTCCCAAAGAAACTCATCCATCTCCAAACTCTAGGCATCACAAGCTAGGCAGGTACCAAGGTTCTTGATTATTACCATTCCCCCAGCCCATTGCCCAGGGGGTGCGCTAGTACAATAAGGTAACCCTATTGCCTATGAGAGCCGAAAATTCAATGGGGCCAAGAGGCACAGGCGAAAAGCCCCTCTCTACACAAGTCAGGTCACCTTGAACCTAAGTCTATTTACAATTCATTATTTCTATCTCATTGACTTCTTCTTATTTCTTATTTCATCAACACTCCCAAATCTGGAAATGCCAACCAAAACTTCAATGGTTTAGGAATGGCGGGATGGATTAAAGGAAGAATCCCTCAACTCCTTGTTCAATTCCTTCGAGGTCATTGGATCCTGTTCCGCCTTTGAGAAACCCCTCCACACACACACACAGAGGGCAAGCTCACAACTACCAGGAAAAACTACAGCAGAGACAATTCCAACATGAGGAGGATATTAAAATTTGATAAACTAAAACAACTTGAAAGAAAGTTGAGTAAAAACAAATGATCTTTCAAATACCAAACGTGTTTTGGTGAAGAGAATGTAAATACCAATTTTAAAATATGTAAAACAAATACGGTAGTGACATTACACTATGCATTTATCTTTAAGGCTGATCTGTGATATAAGTAAGAAGTACCTCTTTCATTACGATTTCGGTGACAAGCACCATAAGAATCGATCTTGATGTTTGCTTTCTCAAGCGCTTCAAGAGCTTGCAAGCGAAAGTTGCGAGCACCACAATTAGAAATGAAAGCGGCTGCCAAAGCACTCTCAGTCTTTGGTTCCAAAGGGGCCATAATATCATACTCAGCCCAAGAAAAATACCCAACAGGAACATCTGATGAGAGACTCGTTGTCATAACAATTTTATATCCTCTCCTAATACAAGAGAAATATAAAAATTCAGATTTAGAATGAATTAAAGGATGAAATGAAACTTTTCTTCACTTGTCTAAAACCCAAAAACAACAAAAAATATATTTCTATATCTGAGGTGAGGATAAAAGTGTATACAATTACCCTTGATGTAGGTCATGTTCATTACAGTAACTCTCTAAGCAGGAACAATTATAGACCATTGTCATTCCAAATCGGTTACCCTTTCACAAACTCCACTGTTGATCTAAAGATGTAGAAGAGAGAGGCAGCAAAAAAAAGAGGAAGAGGAGGTGGTGGATGAGGAGATTTTATTTGAGTACCTAAGTTGTCAAGTATATTCCAAGAAAACAAGGAGAGAAGAACAGAAGAAAAAGTGGAAAAATGAAAAGAAAAAGAAAAGGCATTCATGTAAATAATAGCAAACCACTTCTTTTCCTAGTTAATTAGACCATGTGTGAATGGGATGGCAACTTCCAACAACAAAACATGTCTTAGGTTTGCAAAATGAACTATCAAACCTATATTTCAATTTTAACAATCAATTATACAACATAATCAAAATAACCTTCCTACCGACCAGGAGGACAATTGTGTCCGAAGTAAGTGAATTTGGCAGTCTGCATATTCCAATGGTTATTTATGCCCACTAATTTCTTTTATTGAGAGACTATTCGGCAAGTGGAATATCCTGCAAATTCCAGTGCTAAACCGATTCAAAGCCCCAGAGATTTGCTGCAGCACCTCCACTCTTACAAAACTACTGAGGTTGATATAGCAAAGTTGGCTCTATGAACAATTTCAATTCAAGTCCATCCTTCATTACAATCTTTTATAGGGAGATAAATTAAGTACCAGGAAGAAGAGAAGAGGGGGCTACAAGCTCCTAGCAACAAGACTGCTACCTACAGCATACATATTAGGACAAATATTTTCAGCAATCTGTCAAAAGCCACAAGGAATAAATCCTATGATCTATGGACATGGCAAACCCCCAGATCCTAGACATGGCATTGCTGTGGATATGTGGATATGTCTACCGACACTTTCAGGTGCGTTCATGCCAAAAAAACATAGTAAAACATCACTGAGATGAATAAACTAGAAAGTATCAAGTGTTTGAATGATTGCAAAAGACAGCTAGACACATGTGTTTGTATGACCACCCAGTACATGCCAATCCTCTTGTAGGTAAAAGAACACCAGTTACCAATGAAAACTGTGCCCATACACTTAAATTTAGGTGAAACTATTACCTAAATTTTCAACATATTTCCTGTCTACCCAATAATGTGTAGGTACTAATAACATCAAACAATAGATCAGTCAGGCATTTGACACCAATACTGACATTGTAACCCCTTTGCTTGTACAAATTGCAGTAATAAGTTCCAGGAAACATGTTCGACTGCAGATGATTCAACCCAAAAGAAGATAAAATGCATCACGAAGCTTGGAATAAAATTGCAAGATAATTGCTTTACAATCATGTATTTGAAAAGCAAACATGCAATCAGTCATCTTAGAGTGTGCTTACCCACCGTCGTGCCATAGCAACGCTGTTCTCGGAATAGTATTGAGCTGATTCCATTGATCTAAGCACACTTGCTGTCCCAGCTAGTTGAGGTAACCCAAACGCAGCATCAGACTTCTTGTTGGAGTCAAATCCAAACTTACATCCCACAGCACAAGACTTCCACTCCTGGATACAAGTCCAAGGGAGAAAGTCAGAACACATGAACAATAAGTGAGAAAAATGGCAAGCCTCACTCAGCAACAGATTCAAACTTCTTGCCACGGTTCAAAACCAAGTTCCATGACATATTAAGGAACACAATGGAAGAAGAAATTGCTCATAAGGAAAAAAAAAGGCATCCTTGAAAAAAGAATTTCAGAAATTTCACCAAAAAATACAATTCTCTAGCAAGAATGAAATGAATAAAGGTTCACACACAAATTGCATTCTAAAAACATTTTGATGGCCATAAAAAAGAACTCCAATATTAAAAACTTCCTACATAGAAAGGTATCATAATGATATTAATGAGGCTTTTCATCAACAATCCTTCTGAAGATAAGTGATATCAATAGTGTTACATGTAGCTAATTCCAATTTGGAAAGGTAATGAACGGTATAAAGACACATCTCAAGAAACGATGTGGAAATGAATATGTCCACAACTATGGATAACAAGAGAAGTGGAAAACTTTAATGTCCACCCAAAAATGTAAGAGGAATAAAATCAGGCCAAATGCCACTCAAATCCCATAGTTATCATCCTCCTTGGAGTTATCCTTCACTAGGTTGACCAATCACTAATCATTAAATTAAAAGCAAAAAAATGACATAATTCTATCATCCAAAACTATCATATAGTGATAAATTAAACATACGTCATAAAAAAGTATGCATGTGAGGATTATAATCTATACAACATCATAAAAAAGTATGTATGTATGGAATGCTATGATCTATACATCCATTAAATGCCATCTCAGTTAATAATCTAACTAGGTAACTTTTTTTTTTCATATCACAAGAAGAGCAAACACACATTACTAAAAAGAGAACAAACCTGCTCACCCCCAGAAACAAAGATGGGTTCTTTCTGAAAATCCCTAGCGTACACAACAGAGTCTTCTCTCTCCAACCACTCCTCACAGCTCTCACCCTCGGAGGAGCTCCGATCAAAACCACCCAAAACACCCAACCCGCTCCCATCACGACCCACCATCGCATCACGCGACCAAGACGACGTCGTAAACTGGTAGAACGAGTCAGCCCAAGAGTTGACCAGCTCGGCGTTCTTGGCCATGTCGAGTCGACCCAGAAAAACAATCTCTGTTACAACCACTAGGGCTACGACTAAAGGCAACAAATTGTACCATCTTTTCTTCGTATTGCTAATAATATTACCCGATGACGAAGCTCCATTAGAATTGAGCGATTCTACATCTTCTAGTGCTGACCCTGGTCTTGTGAGTCTTTGATTTGGGACGATACCCATTTTTTTAATTTTCTCGATTGCTTTCTTCCTCGGAAAATTGGTGAAGAAAGAAGAAGAAAGGTCGAGAAAATGCAGGAAAATTCGTCTGATTCTTATAATCAGATTGCCATATTTGTTAATCTGGCTATTGGGGATGGAGGGTTTGAGGAATGAAGATCAAATTAAGCCTATTTTAAGAAATCAAACGAAAAATTATCAGCTTTCTCTCTCCTTGAAGAGTATGCAGTCCACGCCTGCAAAGAGGGGTCGGTGGGGACTATGAATATTTGGATTTCGAGTGGACTCATATCCTATGAATCGGTAGGTTTAGAATGCAAAGTCCGTGGACCATGTTGTTGTTGTTGTTTTTTCTTTTTTCTTTTTTTAATCTCTGTTTCTGTCTTTTTTATTGCTTTTTCTTCTGATTCTTTTCTGAGAAAAAATATATGTTAATTTTAATATAAATCAGTGGAATAAGGCATATATATATATATAAAAATAAAACACATAACAATTTGAATTTTTATCTCCTATATATTTTTTTTCCTAAAAATATTACGTCAGTCATTTTTATTACACGTTTAATCATTTATATATTTTTCCCGAAAAATATTACATCACTCATTTCTATCGTATATTTAATCATTTAATATTTAATTAATTTGTAGTTAATATAATTTTTATTTCAAATATTATTCATATACAATAGTATACATGTTGAAAAAATTTAATATAATGGGATCGATTTTTTGAAAATTTAAATTTTATATTTTATCGTGCCTGAAGGCACGAGTTATGACTAGTATAAAATAAAACACCCGTGAGTTTCAATTTTTATCTCACACATATTTTTCCTCCCAAAATTATCTCATCACCCAATTCTATCACATATTTAATTATTTAATATTTAAATAATTTATAATTTAACATAATTATTGTTTCGTACATTGTTCACACACGATAATATATGCGTGTTGAAAAAATTTTGTCGAGTTATATATTTTTGAGAAAATTTTGATTTTTTTTTAAGAAAATTAATTTTAAATAATGTAATCAAATAAATGAAGAAATAAAAAATTATTATTTCATATAGTAGGATTAATTTTTTAAACGGTCAAATTTTATATTTTATCGTACCTTCAATCTTATATTATAACTAATGCATATATAGATAATAAGGGGAAGTTAAACTAGTGGTGGTCGTGTTCGAATTACCTACGTGTTAGTTTGGATTTATGTTGAATATTAATCGACTCTAATTTAACCGATTTAATTTTTGTTCAAAAAAAATGTAACCTATTTAATTATTTGTATTACATGTTTTGACATTAATTTGATTGATAAAAAATTCTAAAATTAAAACTATTATTTTTCAACCAAACTCACTCATAATTTTTGCATAAATTCAAAATTTATTAACGTAGGGAAGACGAGTTAAAAAATCTTCTTATTAAAAGTAATAAATATTTAGTATTATATTCATACAATATTAGTTAAATGTTATACCCATGTTAATTTTAAATTATTCGTATTTGACATTAACTAATAATTTTGGGTTATAGAGTGCCCATTAGAATTATTTAAAATATTTCACTCACTATTTCAAAATTTTATCAGTAATACTCTCTATTTAAAAAAAAAAATTTATCTCCAAAATGGAGAGTACCAGTACCGATGCTCTTAACAGCCCAGGGATCACACTTCGGTTAGTAAGTGAACACGAACCCATTATCCAAAAAAAGAAAAAATTGCATTTGACCCCAGGCTTCTAAAAAAAATACTCATTTTTTTTTTCTGAAAAAAAAATAAAAAAGAGAAAAAAAGACAGAACAAACAACCTTCAAGGTAAGGCAACTAAAATGAAGGAAGAAACCTTAAAATAAATAAACCAGACCACCAAATAGCTTTAACAAGCAACGCCTTTTCCTATAAAGAAAAACATAACAAGCAACCAAGCCTATTAACACATTTCAGATGAGCCTCCCTCATGCCGTCGGATCAACGGAGAGAACCAACACAGACAATATTGTCTAGCAATTGTCAAAGATACGACACAGACCTTTCTGATTACAAATATCAACAGAGATTCACATAATGTTAACAACCAAACACTCTGCCTATAAAGAAAAACAAAACAAGCAACCAAGCCTATAAACACTTATTTCAGATCGCCTCCATCATGCTGTAATAGCAGAGAGACATGTTCCGTTGACACTTTTTTCATTTGTTTCACCGGTCAGGCCACGAAGAGCCAACACAGGCTATATTGTCTGATAATAGTCAAGGATGGTTTTACCTCGAACACAAACAAGATTTATAACATGCTTCATAAGCAGCTTTCGACCTCCTTTCTCAAACTCCTGTGAATTTCCGGTTGGCCACACCAATTTATCGCAAAACAAAAAGGCTTTTCTGATAAGACATATCACCCGAGGACATTACCAGATAATGAACGGACAACACACAAATTGAGCTGGAATTCCGAAGTGCCTTGAATCAAAATAAACAGGCATTTCTACATTACCACTCGCAAATGAATGAAGTATTACAGCTAAAACCAAAAATTGTTTGACTTCTCATCCACAAATATATACACTTGGCTGAAGAGCACCCCATAAATTGCACTTCCCATCAGTGTTATAACACCTATAAACAAATATGTTGACTTCACAAAACCGAGAGAGATTGGTGGGGGAGGGGGAGGGAGAGGGGGAGGGGAAGATGGGAGTAACTTCACAAAACCTAGCTCACCCGCTTCCTATAGCTATGAATCTAATGTAATAAACATACAATAATTTAAATCATATTCAGATTTTCTTCCTACAAAATTTCTGATTCAAAATATCATGGCAGCATTCCCTTCATTCTATAGCAAGAGCACTAACTAGACTAACCTTATAAACTCCTTATGCTTGATTTGCCTTTGTACCTGTTCTTTGAATAAGTGCCAGGGGAAGATACCCGAAGCTTTCCATCTTTCGTAATTGGTGTTCCCAATGTGTATGGTTAATATTCCAAAGCAAAGACACATCTCAGCTCTCTCTAACGGAAATATCTGTGATAGCTGTTTTCAACCTTTTTCCATCTGATAAACTGCTCGATTTCTCTTCTCGATCTTCATCCACAAAGTTCTGACCTGAAACTTCTGCAGGAACCCACCCCAGTAATTTTAATATATTGATGAGAAAAGGCAAATCAAGAAAATTTACTAGTGTATTCAAGTAACAAGACCAGCATACTCCATTGCAACAACTTGAGAACTTGGGGTATTCAAAAAATATACAAATTCTAGCTACCTATCACACATGCGCAATTACTCAGACACTTGCACAAAAGCTACATCCTTAATCTCAGTCAGCCATATTCACCATTTTGTAAGGGAGTAATTGGTGGTGTTACCAAAACATGAACATGAACATATGATACACATGTATTGCAGCATTCCATACGAATTTCTGGAAAGGTTGGTAGGTTGAACAAAAAGAATTGAAGATATTAGACTCACTTAAGAATGGAGAAAAGGAAAAAAAAAAACAGATCCATGCACATACACACACAAACATGTTCTCTCAATGGCAGGATTCAAATATCCAACAATAAGATCCATACAACTTTTCACAGGAAGACTTAATTGTAGGCAAGGATAGCTGTTTTTTTTTATATCAAACACAAGCATACTTAAGTTGTTCATTTTTGGAAAATTAGAGTAGCTGTGTTACATCACATGCAAGCAGGAGGGAGAGGAGGAGGAGGAGGAGGAGGAGGAGAGGATGAGAAGCCACCTCCAGCTTAAATGAGATGACTGGTTTGCAGCTGAGATAGTAACAATACAGTGTACATTTTCTTTTTGCACGATTTGACAAACTAATTTTTCTTTTACTATCCTCTATCGAAATAGGACCAGAATAGTGGAAATTTTTTTTTCCCGTGATTTAACATCACGAATCTCACTTCATCTCATTTTTTCTATCCCCTATACCAAAGAAAATAAATGGATGCCTGTGTCTCTACTGTGTGTGCATGCCTGCATGGGTGTGCACAAGAAGCCTAGTCAAATGTGTGTGCAGGCATGGTCATCTATGCACTTGAATGCCTAACCAGCGATGTAAAAGAAAGCACAAAAGGCTTTGAAAAGAAAAACTATGAGCAAACTAACAACAGAAGAATCTGCCAATTATAATGTTCAGATCATAATCACCTGTAATACTGCCAACTGAATAATGATGGCACAGGTAGTTTACAGGACTCCGCTCCATATTTGATGCTAATCTATGGGAGAAAGTCCTCTTTCCTTTCAAATCCACTCTCCCCCCATGAAGTGTACTGTGTTGTTGATGATCAGCTGATGTTACAGTGCAGCGGTTACCTGCATATCTGAAATGATATCTCCGTGGACTTCTAAAAACATTAGAATCAGCTGCAATGTTTAAAAGTGGTTGATTCTTTTCAAAGTTAATCTTCTTCCAACAGCCATCTTGTAGAACTGTGAACTGGCAAAAGAGCAAAAAAAATTGGGGACAATTAAATCAAGGAAACAAAAATAAGCAAGTTTACTAGTATCATTCATATGGATGAAATGCATCTGCAACAAGACAATGACATAGTGGTGGAAAAAGCACACTTAAGGAATTCAATGAATAATGTGACTGACCTGCTCAGAAGAATTGTTGGAGTTCACAGGCAATCTTCGAGATGAATTTGGATCCCACTTATTCTGTTCTGAAGCAAGCAAACCCATCGACCGGTTTAATTGCCCAACAAAAGATGCTTCCAATTGATCAAGGTATAAATTGTGCTTCTCATTTGTCCATGCCGTGCACTTACCCTGGTATGAAATGGGTACATAAACGATATGATAAATAAAAAAAATTAAAGGAAGATGTGATGTTAAACTGGTACAAAAACATGAGAAAATACGATGAAGAAACTTGCAATTCAAGTAAGAGTTGAGGAATCCTGTTATTTTGGATTATCCATCTTCCTTGATAGTGTTTTATATAGTTTCCATACTTCATGGGCAAGGTTTGTTTTCTTGCCTTGACATGTGATACCTCCAAAGGACTCTAACAGCTAGGGGCTAAACCACTGTGGCCTCCAGGAAAGTTGACAAACAGTAACATTTAAAACATCTTTGAAGGAACTTGAAAACTTTCAGAAAAAATTTGGAGGTTACCACCATAGAGAATACAAGAACCCAAATGCCAGCCCAAAATAATTTGCATGAACTCCTAAATAAAATGGGATATGGATGAGGAAATTAACAACAGGAGGAAACTTAGCAAATCCAAATTCAACGAAAAGCCACACACCCATTTGCAAAGGGATTAAAAAGATTAAAATTCTATGAATGTTAATCTTCACGAACCATATTAAAATCGAAATAACACAATCTGAATCCAGATACAATTTTCAATCATTGTGTCCAAATCATTACCAAGTAATTCAGAATACTATTTCTACCAAATAATGAATGCACATGTGAAACCTCCACACTAAATAAAGTTACAACTGCCAAACAATTCTATTGATTTATAATTAACTCCCCCTCTACATCCTACATCATTCCTAACTTCCCAATCCATAAGAAAGGAATACGATCTAAATTATATGGATAGTGGAAATTTTCTCAATGAAGATCACATCTCCAAAGTCCGAACCACATCCAGACTCCAGTATGTAAAGCTGTGAAACGCACTTAGAGCCTTCTATGTCCTAAACTACAATCTTCAAAAGTAGTATTAAAATGAAAAGAAGAAGAAGCAAATTACATCTGATGGAATCATCACGGGGCCCTGCATCTATAGAATTACATTACATGATGAGTGTGCCCACAAGGCCAGATTGGTTCTCTAATTCGAAGATTGTGCACAACTTATCACAGCTATACCAAGGAAACAATAAGAACTGCATGTGTTTATACATGTGTATATGATATATAGGAGGGATAAATCAAAACATATCAAAAGAGAAAAGAAGCCAAAAAAAAATCACCTCTATCTGGTGAAATGCATTTCTTAAATTATGAACACTTCTACAATTCCTCGGAAATGTGTTCAAGTCTTCAAGAGCGTCTGCCCAACAAGTGTCTGACATGTACACATCCACTTTTTATATGACAACACGCTATACTTGATACAAATTGATTGTGTTCATGGCAAAGCAACAGATCATGTCTGATTTAGAAGCTTCCTCTCACTATCACCAGCCTGACTGTTGCAAGCTAACCACCAAAACGTTTTTCCTCATCCACACTTAATCCCTCATCCCTCCATTCCTACCTGCCACCCCAAACCCCTCAATCCTTCAAAGAAAAAAAACCTTTCATGGGCAAGCAAATGACAATTGGCTTCACCTCTTAACAATCTCACAATAATATTTAATTTTAAGAGCTTTCAACCTCAGATCACTTCCCTTGCCCATGTTATGTCGGATCATGGATGCTATTCCATTGAGCAAAACATATTTCTCATTCTTTTTCACTCAAGTAAGAAGTATCAAAGCTCCTCACATTAGTGCGACCCAGTGATAACCACACCTCTCTCTCTCTCCCTCTAGAGTCACAAAAGAAACATATTATGTTTCCATCGCCAAAATCAAAACAACAACAAAAATAACAAACGTCTTCTATAGAATCATATTCATAATCTTTATATACACACATCCTTATACATAGAAAATAGAACAGACAGATCAAAATCAAACATATACAAATTTTAAAGCAACACAAGAATTACCGGGTTTGCATTGACGTTCTTGTGAAACACATCTTTCGAATTCTCAGCTGCCAAAGACGATGCGTCTGAGTTCGACCGACTCAAGTCATTACCACAATTCTCCGTCCGAGTTCGATCCGGAGATGACTTTCGCCGGAGATTTTCTCCCATTTTACAGTTTCAGACAAATGCAAACACGGTCTCCAAATTTGGAGAAAATTCCCTAAATTTAGCAGAGAAACCCTCAAGGAAGAGAAGAGAAGGTCATGGAGAGAGAGAGAGAGAGAGAGAATGGCGGTGTATATGGCGTGGATTGGGGGGCCAGTAAAGGGTCCCACATGGCGACGCTTTTAGACGTGTCAAGTAAAATCAGATGGGTGCCACGTCAGCAACGATGATAATATCTTGGCTAACGTGAGCCAGATATTTTTTTGAGAAAATGACAGCTTTTGGACTTTGGCACCATGATAATTGTGCTCCAGCTCCACGTATTTGAATGTGTGAAGCCAAAGTTGGGTAAATTATACTTTGTGCCCTCAATTATAAAATTTTTTATATTGTACTTTAAAATATCAATTTTATTTCATATCACTTCAATTAATAACGAATGTTAAATTTTTAACGATAAATTGGCATGTGAGTGACCTATATTACCAATAAATAACTGTTTATTACACACGTACATGTCAAAAATTAAGAAAAATACATATCCATGAATTTGCCCTTCATAAGCTCCAATTTTTTTCCTCTGGCATACCTTTTTTTTTTTTTCTTCTCATCAATTATTTGATTGTAAAAAAAGTAAAATAAAGTGATATTAGACATTTGGCAGGATGTATTTAGTCTGCAATACCTCAAAAAGATCAATTAAGTACTTATTGACGTATGTCGCTTATTTACATATTGGTCAAACTAGACATCAAAAGTGTAATCTAGTCCTATGCTCCGCCTTCCTCCGCAACAACAAGAAAGAGTTCTTCCTTCTGCTTATGATTTTGTCCTCTTTTTAATACGAAGTATTGCTCTATTAATTTGAGCACTTTTAATCAAACTTGAATTTTGGAACTACATGATGGCCCCAGTCTCACTGAAAAGGGAGAATTACTTTAAGGAACAATGAGAAGCCACACTAGCAAGACGACGTTTAGTATTTCAACTTTTTTTTGGAGGGTTGGAACCTTTACTCAATAAAAATAAAATGGTACTAAACATTTAACAGAAAACTCTTTGGGGTTTATCTCCTTCCTTTGAAAGATTTCAAGTTTGTCATTAATAAAATTAATATATTAAAGTATAATGTGAAAAATTTTACAGTTAAGAGTCCAAAGTGAAATAAGAATAATAATTCAACATATAAAGTGTAATTCACTGGCCAAAGTACCATATTATATCATATTGTACAATATCATATTATACCTTCGTTGTTGTATTGTGTAATCAATTAATAATAAAATATTAAATAAAATTAATAAATTATATTATTCGTAGAGGTGTAATTTGAACAGGATGAAAAATTAATCCTAGGTATAAAATTTTCAACTCTAACTTGACATCAACTCAATCTAGTTGAGTTCGTGGACCCAAGCTCTTAATCCGAGTCTTACCTGAATTCAATTCGGGTTGAAACTTTTCAATCCTAACCCTACAAACTTCAACCCTAATACTATTTTTTTGAGTTGGGTTCAGATTGACCGGCCCAAGCTGCACTTCTAACTATTCTAACACAATATGCATTAGATAAGATGATTAGTGATAGTTATCCTTTAACTAATTGGTAATACAACATGTCATATATTTGGGTGTAAACACATTTATAACATAATGTTACCGTTACATTAAATATTTTTTTTCAAAATGGTGAGGGGGGGATAGTTTGCTCTCAAAATCAAACTCGTCCAATATTGTTTTTCATAGATTATAACAAATTATGGACTCATTTATATATAAATTGTCACACTTAAATTCGTAGTAAACAATTTAAATCCTAGAAGTGACGAATAAAATAAGAAAGAGTTTTCCTTTGCTTAATGTTCAAATTTTCTTAGGATTTTATCTATTTCATGCGTCTAAATTGGAAAAAAAAAGTTTACAAAACTAAAAAAATTAATCAAATATCAAGTGATAAATAGAAAAGAGAAAGAGAATGATTTGACAATAAAGTGTTGCTCGCCTTTTCTCGACCATTAGTGTCTTATTTAATGGTTGGCTATCTTAAGTACTTCTCTTTACCCTCTCCCTTAAAAATTCAAAGGTTACTTTTGAATGCTATCGTGACATTTTGATTTTAAAAGTTTACAAGATATGGAGTTTATAGGCAAAAATCCCTCCAATTCAATAAGTATTTAACATATTGTGGCCGCCATTCATGTTTGTCGGTAGATGCAACATGGATGCCCCTAGCTTACACCAAAGTGAAATATTCTTTCTCCATGTGCCAAAACGAATTAAGGCATATCAACCCAACCTTGCCCATTTTCAAAGTATTATGTAGCTTTTTGGTATTATACCACTCTATTTTTTCGTTTTATTACATTATTATTTTATTTTATTTATTATTTTTACAATCAATCATTATAAATAAGTTAGATCAAGGTACGTAGTTAAAAACCATTTTTGGTAATTATATATAAACTTATGATTTTATGTTTAGTATGTCTTTACAGACAATTTTTAAAAAAAAAAAAAAAATCTTAAAGATAATTCATGTGATAATAGGAAAGAACTCTAAATTCAAATATAATGGATTTATTCCTCATATTGGCAACTTCTTCGGATCAGAGTATGAGAGATTTATTCTTCATAACTATTCTAGTTCTAGAATAGATGACTTGTCTTTGACCGATCTAAAGAGGATTAACTGATATATAAATAAATTGATACAAATACTCCTAACCATTAAAAAAAAACAAACATCCCTCAGAGGCGGATTGTTCAGTGCAACACTTTACAGAGGAAACAGTGTGTTTGTTTTCAATGGTTGAATACTAGAGATATTTTCTTATGTTGACCCATTGTCTTTTACTTCGTCTGGAAGGCAATGTTTTTTCTTCATCTGCACCAGAGGTCAGCTTCTGGATGATGTTAGTCGACACATTAGATATTTGGGTGTATACCTAATTAAATATGCACAACCTGCTTTTGACAAAGGAGATTAAATTATATCTAAATAATCTGCAAAATCCTTATAGTGTGTTTAGTAAAAATATTGAAAGTGTAAGTGATACATTTTTTATCTTTTAAGTAATGAATCATTCATTTTTTCATTTGTGTTTGGTACGAGGGATGGAAAGTAGGAATAATTTATTTTTTTTGTATTTAGTATGATGAAAAAGTAGAATAATAGAAAAAATATAGATACATATTTTATCGTTATATCTATATATAAAATTAATATATATATATATATATATTAAATATATATAATTAATATTTCATCCACATTTTCTCCCAATTTTGGAGAAATTGATTTTATTAAGTTATAAAAAAACTTAATCCATCCATTTTTTTTCATCATTCCTATTTTTTTTATTTACCAAATATGATGTTTTATCTACGCCTCTAATATTTCATCCTTCAATTTTTTTGTCGTCCCAACCAAAGCATTAATAAATTTATTGGAAAGGAGAGACAAGTTCAAGTGCCTCAAGCTTGTTCTGTATAGAACACATCCAAGGGAAAGTATACGGTACCAAAAAAAAAATTGGTACCATACTAAAAATTATAATTTTTATAATAAATTACACATTTGAAAATAAAAATTATAACTGATCAAAGAAAATTCATGATCGATGACAAATACCTATGATCGATCATAAGCTTCCTTGAATTAGTTGTAACTTTTTTTATATGAATTGTAACTTGCTCTATAAAATTAGTAATTTATCATTTGAAAGTTATAACTTCTATGACCCGATCATGTTTTTTATAAGTTGTAATTTACATATTAAAAAATTATAATTTAAACTTAAAAAATTATAATTTTTGATACGATACAATCAACGGTACCATATTCCGCCACCCAATCATATTACTGTATGGAACCCGCCTTAACTCTTTCTAACAATATATTATAGGCTTGGTACATTGACAAAGTACTTCTCTAAATTCACCATCTCATTCTCTTTGAATGCATTACATATTGTTGGACGATTGGACTTTCGATTCTTCTAAAAGCCTTTTCCAAAATTGGATTATACCCATTAGCTAGCCATGTAAGCTAAGTTTCATTACCTCCACTTCTTGCTGAGTTATCCAGTGAATTACGTAACGAACCCTTGCATAAACACTCAATGAGATTGGGTTTTTGACTCGAACTCATGATCCGAATCCTTGTTAGAGAGGCTTAAATACAAGGATTAATTACAGATTGTAACTTGAAAGATTATTTGAATTTTAATTTGTACCTTTAAAGATCAAAAATCTCAATTTATACCCTCAAAGATATAAATTTGAGGAGTGTTCAAATTTTCAATTGACCGCAATTTTCAACCCTACCCGACCCTACTGAACAGCTAACAGCAAAAATCGGGTAGGAATGTGGAAGAGATTTTGGTCTTTCTATTAAATCGGGTAGGAATGCGGAATACCTATCAATTTTCACATTCCTATCTTAACCTACTCGCAAAAAATATATTTAAATTTTTTATATGTTTTTTAGTAATTATAAGAGTATTTGTGTGATATAATTTATATTATAGCATTGCTATTATTGTGAATGTTTGAGTTACGAAAACATGGACTTGTTTTTTGTATAAATTACATGATTTGTAGTGAATTGATTATCTATTGGAGCAGTTATGATTTTAATGTGTTTCATATAGTTTAAACTTAAAATAATTGTTATTGTATTTGTATAATAATAATGATTGATTGATGTTTCTGCTTTTTTTATGTTTTATTGTAATTGTTGTTATAATTGTTTTATATTTTAGTGTTATTGATTTATTGTATTGTTAAATTGATGCGTGTTATTTAATTGAATTGTTAAAATGATCAAAAAATTAATAGCTACAAAAGTGTTTACCCGACTTTTTACCCGATTAATCGGGTAGATAGTCGGGTAGGAATACCACACCTGATCAGGTAGGGTAGGCCAAAAAAAAATTATTCTGCAAAATATCAGGTAGGAAGACGAATGACTAATGAACACTCCCATAAATTTGTATCAATGTGCACCCCTGAAGATCAAAAATCTCAATTTACACCTTTAAAAATAGAAATTTATATCAATGTGCACCTAAAACTAAATTGATAAATTATAATTAGATCTCTTCATGCTTGTCACTTAATCATTTGGATCCCTTCACATTTAGAATATTATTCCTACATCTCATGACATTTGTGCACGTATAACATGTTACTCATTTTCTTTGATATCGGTTAATATAACCATTAAAAATTATAATTTTATCCTAATAAAAAATTATAATTTCATATTATCCTTTATTTTGTGGATCCAATATACTCTACAGTTCAAAATCAAGCTTATCAATTTGAATGTCCAATAGAATGTAGGTATTTATATAATATTTTTTACATCCAATGCAATATATCACTCAATCTGCAACTCTTTATTCTATTGAACATTGAAATGGTAAACTTGATTTTAAATTTAATTTTAAAGTTAATGTGACGGTTAATATTAAAACTCCAAATTTAATAGGAAAAATAGGTCTTTAAGAGCGTGTTTGGAGTGACTTTTTAAAAGTGTTCTTAAGAATTATTTATCATAAGCATTTTTTTAAAAAATAGTACTTAGAACTGTCCCACCACCACCATTACTGTCGCCGCCACCCTACCACCACCATCGTTGCCATCTCACCACCACTTCTTCCACAACAACTACCACCACCACCGTTGCCGCCACATTACTACCACCGTTACTGTCCCATCATCACCCCTATTACCACCAACAACCCCCACCCGCCCCACAACCACCATCACCATTGTCATTCACGACTGTCACCATCATAACCGATTGTCGTCACTCATCACAACTATTATTGTCTTTCATCACCACCACTACCATCACTCGCCCCAATACAATCGATGTTTAAATTTCTTTCTTTTTGCTCTATCTTTGTAATTTGATTTTAAGTGTGAATACAAATATGCTTAGTATTGACTATTTTTTTTATTACTCTATGCCTTCAAGCACGAAAAATAACTAATAAATAAATATAATATATGTATATATTAAAAGATAAATAGGTAAATAACATACATTTCAACACACACAATTAATTTTTTATTTATTTTTTCTCCTGATTTTGGAGGAATTAATTTTTGTGAGTCGAAAGAAAAACTAATCCATCGACTTTTCCATCATTCTGATTTTCTTGCTTATCAAATATGATATTTTTAACTATTCCTCTAACTTTAAAAATAAAAATAAAAATTCATCCTTCTATTTTTTGTCGTAATAAAGAAAGCATTAATATTTTTCCACCTTGTCCTTCAATTTCTTTTCCTTTGTCTTCGGATATCCATTGACGTGTAAATTTGATATCTTTATATGGATTTGGATATCCCTTTGGCATATTTTTTCATACAATGATATCAAATCACGCCAACTCCCCCATTTTTAAATATCTTTTTTACTGTATTGTTGTGTAAAACTTAAAAATAAAAATAAAAAAGTGTATTGCAAACAATTCAAATCTCTTTCATGTGAAGGAATTGAATCAAGGTTTCCCCCATGTGGTGGTGGTGATGAAGATTTGGGTAATCTTATTGATTAGGAATTTAATCTCATTTAAAAATCTTTCTATTTCAATGTTACGTGTAAAATAAATTCATGGGAACATTGCTAGGGCTATTAATAAAATATAATTGATTCATAGAATGGTCCTTAAATAATAATAATAATAATTAATTAATTAATTAATTAATTAACGCCGACAGCTGCTTGGCCGGCAATATAGAACACAAAGAAACAGGAGAAATTTAGTGACGGCTTTAGCGTGTAGTATTAATCACCATCAATTATAATGAAGATTAGTGGCTGCTATTTTGAGAAAGAAATTATATACACGTAATGAAAGTGATTGGTCTGTGCTTTCATCAGAATATTCTTACCTTAGAATAATATTCTTTACTTCAAAATACCCAAGTTTGATTCTTGGTGCACAAGTCACAATCTAGGCACAACCTCAAGAAGGCTCTAGGAAGAAAGTACTTTCTTATAATTTTTTTTTTTTCAGAAATGTTATGGTACTGTCGAAAATATTGTATAAAAAAATTATAATTTCTTAAGGTTAAGTTATAACTTTTTTAAAATTTAAATTATAATTTTAAAGAGTATGATTAATTATAAAAGGATAAAATTGATACCGAGAGTTCATGATTGATTGTGACTTTCTCTTGAGTAATTGTAACTTATTATTTTAAAGTTGTAATTATATCGTAAACTTATCCTTGAGTTATATTGAATTCATAAATATACTTATAATCAACTGTTAATTACAAGTATTAATTAAATCAAAATATACTAGCAAAAATCAAATTGATGTTTTAATATATTCTTTTTGAATTTCTTTTTTTTTTTTTTTAACAATTTGCTCCAAAAGCCCTAGCTATTTCTTTCTCTCTTTTTTTTTTAAGGTATTTTTATTTATTTACACAAATATAAACAATTGTACCTTATTAGCAAAAATATATAATTTTTTGTGTATGTTTAACAAGTCTTAAAGCTGATCTCAAAAAAAAAAAAAAAAAACAAGTCTTAAGGCTCATGAAGACAAAGTGTTCCGACTCCGCAAATGCATAGAAAAATTTTCATAACAAGTTTTCTTTGAACCGGAATAAATATATTCACAAAATTTTCTTTGGAGTTTAAAAATTCTCAATTGATACGAAAATATAAGAATATATGTATCTTACACTATAAATAATTTTTGAAAATGGCAAAAGATTTCAATGATATATAACACCAATTATGCATGCGCAATTTGTGTATATATTTAAATATTTCATTCTTATTTCCGAAGCAACTTCACTCTTGCTAACCAATCAAAGATTTTGATTATATGAGAGAGAGAGAGAAGGGTATATATATATACATATAGGATTGTAATATAAGTAGAATAAATATGGCCAAAATAATCAAAACAATAGCAAAATCCATACACAAAGTAATCAGAGTAAGTCTGTGGTTCCGAAGAAAGTATCATACCCAAAAATATATAATATTTGAAAGTTTAATTATAATTTTTAAAAGTTTAATTACTTTTTTTAAAATTATTTATAATCAATACCAAATAGCCTAAAAAATTTATAACTTAACTTTCTCTGCAAAAAAATAATTTTTAGTACAGTTTAAAAAAAATCACTTTTTAGATTTATCCGAAGGTTAAAAATTGAGTTGAGTTTTGGAAGCTCTAACCTAGTTAGTTGATCTAATTTTTCTAAAGGAATAGGTGGACTATTTTACATATGAATGAATGAATCGAAGTTTGCGAGCCAAAACTTATCTAAACAAGTTAAAAAAAATTGTTCAATTACGACATAAAGAGCTGCAATTTAATCCAATCACTAGAACAACAAGAATAAGATCCAAGAATAATTCTATTTACAAAACAATTAAAAGTTCAAGCAAAGAAGAAGGTGAAGAAGAAGAAACCTCGAATTCTAGATAACTAAATTGAATGAAATTGTGATCTTCCTTCGGATCAAGATTATCTTGGCGAAGATTGTCGCACAGAACAAGCCACCACCTGTGCCCACTGCTTCAATTTCGTCTTCATCTTATTCGGATCATCACCTTCAATCAATTCAAAGTTAGGAAAAAATGGTAATTCTAATAAATAATTGAAAAAAAAAATTACAATTCAGAAGGTGGGGTTTTACCTGGGTCGAGAATAGAGCTAGGGCTTGCAACAAACGACGACGTCGTTTCGGAGTCCAAACTCATCGTCGACGACAAAGACGAAGACCTAGACAATCGATCACTGTACTGTCTATTAACAGCACAAAAGAATTCCAAAGCCGGAAAGGCCTGCGACAATTTCGGATCTATGCGATCCGGAGAATCAAACCCAAACCCTAACTCGAAACATGCCTTGAGTTCATCTAAGTCCTCGTCCGTAACGCTCTTGCTGCGGCCGCTTCTCAGGCGATGACTGCTCTTCCGCTTTAACCACGCCTCCTCGCGGTGGCTGTCAGGAGACCATGACTTCTGCTTGTACAGTGGTGCCGGAGGCACCCGTGGAGCTTTGGGATCTGCCATGGGCCCACCACTACCGTGTAGACGCTGTGTGTTCTAACTTCAACGGCGGAGGTTTGGGGTTTTGGAATTTCTTCTGCGGCGGGAGTTGTGGGATATTTAAAGAGGAGGGGTGGGTGGGGCTTTGCTGAGGTGGGTCTCGTTAGGTCTGACCAGGATTGGTGGGACCAGGAGGAATCCTTGTGAGTGATTGGTGGGAAGGTCGGCCCCAGTTTTGGTTCATCTAGGTGGGGTCCATGTTCATCAGGACGAGTGAAACACTCCTAATCCTAGCTGTATTTTGTAACATAGTATTGTATCTAAAAATTATGGGAATAGCCATCCATTGTGTGGAGAATTTTATTTATCGAGGTTATTCAAATTCAACCAGTGAGTTCAAAAAAAGTTATTCAACAAATTATTATTAATGATATATTTTTAATTATATAAGACCTATTAAAATTAATTTGTATATAATACCATAGTAAAGCCTAATTTGGACCATTAAACCTAAAAAATATTTGAGACCATGTAACCATCCCCATGTTTCCCTATTCATAATATAATATGATAGCAATTATATTATATTCTTAGAAAAAATTCACACGATAATATAATAAAAATTAATTATTAATCAAAACACTACTTTTCATATAAGTTACAATTATATTGTGATTCGTAATAATTTCAGCAAGCTCAGTTAAATAAGTGTTTTGATCGATAAGAATAACACTCGTGCATTTAATCATATCCCTCATTTAATTATTAAATATCAAGTTATTAATTTCTTTTAATACATTAAGTAAAATATTTGTACATTGGACTTTTTTTAAAAACCTAGGGGGAGCAATAGAATTTTATAAAAACTTATAGAGGGTTATAAGAATTTTTTAAAAAATGTGAGGGGATCATGACCCTCTAGGCCTACACACATTGTTCTGTTACCGCGTCCCACCACCCCTACCCCCTACCCCAACATAGCCACCATTGCCCTACAATCGCCACTACAAGTCCCGCCTCCTTTGTCATCACCTCGATCAATACCTCAGCACGGGCGAATCAATGGTGGTGCAATAGCAATAGAGAAAACAATGGTTGGTGGTGGTGCGGCAACAAGAAAATATGGCCTTTTTCTATAATGTTAATGAATTTATCTTATCATATCCTGTTTATTATGCCTGTTTGGAGCTGACTTTTTTGAGTGCGAAACATAAATTTAAAAAATGAAATTAAAAAAAAAATTAAAACCATTTAGAGTGTTTCAGAAAAGACCGACTTTTTCTTAAAAGTTTTTGAATAAACTTCATTTTTCAACGTTTTTTTTAGTGCTGACAAAAATTATTTTTGTCCAAAAAACTGACGGCCCAATATACTCAAGTTCAAATGGACCAAATATTTTTTTTTTTAAAATAAAAAAATTTGAGATTTTAAGGTACCTCCAAACAGACCTAGTGAGCAAGTTGGAAAAACAAAAATGAGAGTAAATTACATCCAACTCGTTATTGGCATGCCAAATCCATCTGGGTGTCGGTACTGTACTACTTTAAAAAAGTTATTCATTCATTTTCCTTCTCTTCAAAAGCTATTTATTACAAAAAGCCACACAACCCTTTGTGGTAGAACCTTTCTTACTTAGATGCTAATTCGATCAAGGACCTGTCATAGATGCCAAGGTTGAAACAAACTATCCTTGGATACTGTTCAAATTTAATGATACTTCAGAGAGAATGATCATCACAAAAAGACGGTAGCTAGGTACCCGGAGAAATTGAACTTTTTGAGAGAGAGCAATCAATCTTGTTTCGCCCGATTCTACATGAAATTCAGCTGGGTCAACTCGGGCATTCAACTCTATTGCGACGACATCCTCCAGCTGAGCTTGCTCCTTCTTTTCCTGAGGAAAAAAAAAGCAATTATTTGAGGCATATAAACAATAACGATGATGAGGATTTTAACTACTGTTTGGTAGGTACAATTATGCCTACTATGCTTCAACTGCAATTTACAATAAACACACAACTCTTTTGATTTCTACAACCACCAGTTTGGTTGCTAAAGCCATTTTGAGAACAGGTTTAGTTGTTATTTGGGAGAACATTTGGTTGGCAATAAGTGAATGATGAAGAACATCTGTCAAACACATCACTTATAGTCCCAACTTTCTGTTCTTTACAATCACCTAAGAGATAAGATAAAATATAATGAAATGGGAGCAATTTCAAACAAAATAAATGATCGCTATGACTAACAACACTTTCATCACAGAAAAATTGAAAACACTCATCTTGGACCCTATAACGGTAGGTTTATACTCAAGTTCAGTTGTAAAAACAATGCCTTACATTTCAAAAACTTGATTTAAACCACATGTTGAGGCCATATCTTCTATCATCCTAAATTAAAAGGCTTGACGACATATTGAGCTTACTATCAAGTATCGACTGCAAAAGGTTATACTAAATTGGCGGACTTCCCTCGCAATGAAAAGCAATTACAAATTAAATTATGCATGTCATACACTGGCTCTCTGGTGCTATTATATGGTCTACCGTGCAGAATAGATCGATCACTTCATTTCTAGGACTAGCGATATCGATTACAACGTCAAGAATTGTCTACGCATCAACCTAGAGGGTAGATATAAAATCTAGTTGCAGAGAAGAGAAGGATGGAGGATGAAGAAATAATGTGTGCTGTAGATTGTTTAATGCTTTGAAAATTTTGATATACGGCTGGTAGTGCGTGGTGCCTTGGATTTTCCTGACATTTCACTTCACCAACATAAAGCTCAAAACTTCATATCTTGTGCTTTTTAAATTTCAGGGTGAAGAGACACCGAATCTGGAACAAAACCTACTGACCATCAAAAATAATAATAAAGAGAGAAAAAGAAAAAGGCTCAGGTCAGAATTCACAACGCATAAGAAAGCTCACACAGGTTTGAATTCCAATAAAAAATTGTGAAGTTAAACAATAGTTGATTTTAGACCAATAGCAATACAACTGCAAATTGATGGCATTAGAGCTTGCAACAGCAGTCATTTCTAAAAATTTTATTTAACAGATTGGGCTGAACAAGCTTCAGCAGAAAACCCAAGCATATAATTATATCTATCACCAAGCTTAACAGGAATAGCTGAAAATAGCAAATGAATCAGCTGGTGAAAATGCCTTGGATTTTCACCTAAATGATGTGTGCATGTAGACACGATTCTTATAGAAATAAAAAATAGAAAACTCAATGCCCACCCCCCCCCTTTTTTTTTTGAGCTTGAAACTCAATTCTGTTGGTTTTTTTATATCAATATGAATTTCGGGATCTATAGAAAGAATCAAGAAAGAGCATTATGGGCATATCTTAAGAAAAACACGTAGTAATCTGTTTTTTTAGCATTTCGAAGAAATAATTGATTGAGCCATTGACAGGAGTTCTATGGGCACTTCTTCAGATTTCGAAAAGACAGAAGTGGACTGACAATGACACTGATCCAAAATCTCAATTTTCTGAGCCAAAAATCGGCAATTCACTTCACCAATAATCCCCACAAGAACAAATACCATCCTTGAAGTGATGGAAACGGTTGGAATCCCTCACAATAATCTCCCTATCAGTAATCTTCGATATTAATTTAGTTGCATTGTGGCAATCCCCACAAACCCGCAAGTTCTTAAAGATCCGAATAGGACTCTTAGGAGGAGTGCTGATGATTCCATATGCAATAGCCAATCTTTCACTATGACTTGTCAGGATGTGCTCCTTCTCATCCTCCTCAACATCCTGCAACACAAAGCTATAGTCTGGAATATAACCGAGGCTCTTAATTTTAGCCGTTAAAATTTCCAACTCCATATATATTGCCTCGTGTTGTGGATGAGATTGATTCCCTGTATAAAATACTTCAATCCTATTGTTCAGTTCAATTGAGCTCCAACCAGGAGTCTTCTTCAAACCCCTGCCTCTAGCAAATGATCTCACTTCATTTACCCCCTCCCATTTACCGACATTTGCATAAATATTCGACAACAAAACATAGTAACCTACATTCTCCGAATCAACCTCAAACAAGCGTTCTGAAGCCAATTTACCCAACTCAGCATTTCCATGGATTCTACAAGCACCAAGTAGAGCACCCCAAACTGAAGCATCAGGCTTTAAAGGCATACTCCTTATAAAATTGTATGCTATTTCCAAATTACCAGCCCGGCCAAGTAAGTCAACCATGCAGCCATAGTGCTTCAAACTAGGCTTGATCCCACACTCTTCCTGCATTACATGAAAGCACCACCAACCCTGATCAACTAATCCCGAATGGCTACAAGCTGACAATAGGGATACAAAGGTTACATGATCCGGCTCCACCCCCTCATCCAGCATATACCTAAATAGTTGCAGAGATGTCTCGCCATGCCCATGAATCCCATGACATGATATGATGGCATTCCAAGGAACTGAACTCGTCCTGGGCACTTCATAGAATAAGGACATTGCATCATTCAGTCTCCCACATTTTCCATACAAATCAACGAGGCAGGTACCCACAAAGACATCCAAATGGAGACCTACTTTAAACACCCGACCATGAGTTTTCATTCCTTGTTGCACAGCTCCAACATGAGCATACGCAGGTAAAATGCTCACCCAAGTCCCCTGGTTTGGTATTATGTCCTTACACTTTTGCATCATGCAGTATACTTCAATAGCTTCACTTGCAAGACCATTCTGTGCATAGCCTGTGACCATTGTATTCCACGAAATAACATCTTTAAATTGGAGGTCTTCAAAAACATTACGCGCAGAATCAATAATGCCCAATTTTGAATACATATCCACAACAGCATTTCCAATGACAACATCTTCCATAATCCAACACTTCCTCAGGACGAATCCATGGACAGACCTGCTATTATGAAAATCCCCAGTCTGACCAACACTGGAAGCTAAGCTCACCAGCGTTAACAGATCAGGCTGAACTCCATTCAGTTGCATCCTGCCAAAGAACTGAAATGCTGTAATTGGATCACCATTCTGCTCATATGCAGAAATTATCGAGTTCCATGACACCAGATCCCTAAGCACCATATGATCAAAAACCACCTGTGCATGCCCCAAATTGCCAAATTTGGCATACATGTTAATCAAAGCATTTGACACAAACACATCAAACTCCAGGCCATGCTTTATGGCATACAAATGTATCAACATTCCACGCAACATATCATCCATTTGTGCACATATAGGAAGAATAGTTGAAACAGTTACTGAATCCATCTTAACCCCCTCCAATCTCATCTCATCCAAGACACTCAATGCCTCCACAGCATTTCCATGTTGACAAAACCCAGAAATCACAGCATTCCAACAACCCATATCCCTGAACGGCATATCTGTAAAAATCTTGTGGGCAACAGCAAAGGAGCCAAACCGGCAATACATATGCACCAGGGAAGCAGCCACAAACACATCCCATTCGAAACCCAGTTTGGAAATCCAGCAATGTATCCTTCTGCCATCAATTACATTGCCACAAGCTTTTAACACGGGTGGAAAAGTGTAAAAATCAGGCCGAACTTCAGAGGTCGATAACATTTCATCTAAAAACTTCACAGATTCGTGGAAATGCCCATTGCGAACATAAGCAGATAACATTGAATTCCACGTATATGCATCCTTTTCGCGGATCTGACTAAAAGTTTGGCGTGACAAAGAAACATCACCCAGATGGGCATAAAGATTGACAAGTCTAGTGGCAATGAAGATACTGTGAGCCTTCCCCGCAACAATAAGAAGGGCGTGAAGGTTCTTAGCCTGTTGGGTTTTGGTGCATGAGTTGAATAAAATCTCGAAATCGATCTCTTTGTTCTCGTTCTCAATTCCATTACATGAAAGTTGTGCACAAGTCGCAGTGATGGAATACAATTCTAACCTGGTTCGAAACGATGGCAGAGACTTTGGTAAATGCCTACCTTTGTAGGTCGGCAGCAATCTGACCACAAATTAAAAACTAAATCAGTAAAAAAATCGCAAAAAGAATGTAGAAACCACTGCTATTGAACGGAATGAACTGAAGTTTAATAAAAATGGTTCAAAATCGGAGAACATTCCCATCTATCTTATATTGTATGGGAATTAATGACTGAAGAAGAAGACGAGGATGAGATGTACCTGAACATACATGTAGTCTCACTGCAATATCAGGTGATAGATGAAGATCAATAGCTTGTACCTGCGAAGATGACAAGTAGAGAAGGTAATTGTTTGAAGGGAGGGTTTAGGGGTTGGAGTTTTAGAGGTTTTAGAGTGAGAATTATCCGAATGGTGAGTAATCGGTAACCCGATGTGGATCGTATGTTTGAATGGGTTAGAGATGTACAAATGATGACTTGAATTGGGCCTGTAGGGAAGAAGTTGGGCCAGTCTCGTTTAAGGCAAAGCATTGCTAACTAATCCTTTTTCTTCGGGTTTTTTTTTTGTAAGCCGGTATCTTATAATAAGATTTCAAGCTCCAAAAATAAGAGATGTTTTATTACAATTAGTGAAAACTATTAAAGATCCTAAAACAAGAAATGAACTTAATTGTTTAGCAACATACAAGATTGAGAATTTTGAGTTTTTATTGGGCATGACTATTTGGTATGATATTTTATTTTCTGTCAACTTAGTAAATATTTACAATTAAAAGACATGCATATTGATATTCTATAGATCAATTAAAATGTCTCATTTATTTTTTAAAAAAATATAGGAAAAGTGGATTTACAAATGGTATGATTTCATCTAAAGAAATTACATGTGAAACGGGTATAGAAGTTATATTTCGTGAAAAACGTAAAGTTCGTAAAAAAAATAATTTGATGTAAATGTTAATGATGAGGTAACACAATCTATTGAAGAATCTTTTAGAATTGATTATTTTACATATATAATTGATCAAGTTATTTATTCACTAAGAGTAGATTTGAACAATTACAAAAGAACGAAAATATTTTTAATTTAAAAAAAATTAGATTTTTTTCTAAATGTATGCATTGCTTATAGAATATTATTAATATTCTTATAACAGTTGCTTCTGCAGAAAGAAGTTTTTCAAAATTAAAATTTATAAAATCTTACTTAAGATCGACTATATCACAAAAAAGATTAACTGAATTAGCGATATTATCAATTGAAAAATATATAATAGCAAAAATTGAATATAAAAACTTAATTAATACTTTTGTAACTCAAAAAGTAAAAAATATTAATTTTAAATAAAAAATATT